AAAATTATTATTCTCACTTCTACCGCATGTAAAATACACTATTAGTAAAGATACAGCGCTAACTGCAAGCTCGAGAGACGTGTGAGAATAATTGAAATGCTGATATCGCAAGACAATATTTATATCCGTGTCTGGTACTACTATCCCGACGTGCAGTAGACGTCTAATGCCGCCATTTGTTTTTCCTTCTCTGGCAAATAACTCCTCAGGGCACCCTTGGATAGGCCTTGCAACAACCCCTGTGTCCTCTCTATTTTTTAAATCTCTATAATGTTTTTAATTTCTACTAAAGTCAGAACGCGCATAATTGCATCGTTGATTTCATTTTCTTGAGCAGGAGAGCAAAGTAAGATTACAGGCACGCCAGTGCACCAGAGCGTGAAGAGGGCGCCGCACGGCGATCGCGTATTACTCGGGGACTATCATTTTCTTACACAGGTCGCGTTGAACCTAATCCAGCCTGCTTTCAACGAATGAAAGCAAGAAAAACCAAGAGAATTTAAAAAGCAGATACCTCTGTTGAGTTCAGCTGTTGACCAAATTGTGCTTAGCTGGGCAACCGACTTGATGCGGGCCTTCACAGCACCTGCAGCTGCTTCCTCAAACGCAGGCCACGCATGCAGTTACGCACGTTTGCTATGCGAATGTATATGCTTTAATATATAAAACACCTTCAACTCCTCCCACGGCTTCGCTTAGTTGGTGCAAGAACAAACATGCGTTTTGAAGAGCTTTTCGATGTACAAGTCTAAGCTTCCCCAATTACTTAAAAGAAACACAAAACAAATGGAGAACGCCAGCACCGATGGCTTGAATTCCGCATGGAGGTAACTTACTATAAACACACGGAGTTAGAATTGCTTGAGCACGGAAACACCTGAAAAACTCTCAAAGTATCGTGCCGAAGAAATCGAAGATGGCCTCACCAACTGATAGCACAGAAACTTAAAAGGTGCCTTCAAAATCTCCTCGTGCAAATAAGCGGCCCGGAATAAACTTATTTGCCCAAAAGCTGCTGCTGTGCCCAGGACTAGGCTGACAGAGATCCGTCTTCCGAGGAAATAGACATTTAACGTGTCTATCTTATCTAGCCGCCTACGTCTGGGTGTTCTCCAGATCACCCCCTGAGCTTGGGGTAAACCAATATTGGTATGGGAGGCTGATATGGTATGACGGATATGACTCGTTGGTCATGCCATGAATAATGCGACAATCCCGTCGCGTACGTCGTCAAATCTTTGTCACCAGACACGTGTGCAACATACCCGCATACAACGGGCAGGTATGTGCCACAGGTGATTAGCAGTTTATGCACGCAGGAACGGCGATAACGGTGATTGGTGTGTTGAGTTTAACCTGCCAAAACCCCACATATCAATCGGAGCGGCGAGAACAGATATTGGTAATTTTAACACGAGAGTGTTAAACAGACACTGTTTAACGCTCTGTGCGAACAACATTTGCACATACCGTATACTTAGCGTCATTTCGTAGTGGAAAAATATTACAACACAGTCAACTTCTTTCCGTATACTTCGCATAACATTTCTGGGTGAAGGGGCCAGTCAAGCTGTGAAATGCAGGTTCTTTTTCCTTCGCACCAAACCACGTATACAGTGTATTTTCGTGTACTTGTCACGTGGTTGAATAAACTCAAACTCAAACATGCGTGCGCAAGCTACGTGGGATCTACCGAATTTTTTTTTACATTGTTCTCCCGCCAAGTCAGGTTAGCAAATCAAATGTTGCGATCCAGTTACAAACTTTCTGCATTTGCCAATATTTTTTTTCTTGATCAATTCGTAGCATCGAGACCCAGAATTACGAAAATTATTTACGTGGGACCTTATGCTTGCCCTACTCATCAATCTTTTAAACAGTCCCTTGAACGTTCTTTGGGAGTCCCGATTCTCCATATATATCACTCTGTTTAAGGATACCCGTGAACTCTCTTTAAATATCATTACACTCCGTCAGGAGAGTCGTGGGACCCAGAATAGAAGTAACGTCTCTCTTTGAAGAGGACATGCTGTTAAACAGCGCAGATGAGAAGAGACACGGTTGAAAAGGAAACAAGACCGGCGTATATCACACTTAAAAGAGAGAGTTGTGTACGGCTAAATTCCACACTCCCCGAAAAGAGTAACGCATACTCCATTTTTACAGCAATGGACATTCTAGACTGCCCACCCTGTCGATTTGTTCTTCTTCCTCATTCGCAGTGACAGTGACGACGAGCGGCCCGTCCTTCAAGGGCTTCATCGTGCAGGGCTTCAACCCGCAGACGCGCGAGGTGATCGGCGAATTCCTGGGCGGACCGGGAACCCACGTCATCCCGCAGTGCTCTGCCATCACGCACGAAAACAACCGAAACAAAAAGGCGGCCACGCTCAACTGGAAAGCGCCGCTTAATTCCGGACCCGTAATGTTCAGGTATGCTCGTATATAACGTAGGCTGCAGCTATATATTCAGTGATGCCCGTTCGGGGAAAATACCATCAGAATGAATACAGCTCGTCATTTTGAAAGGGCCAGTCAACAGGCTCCGAAACGCGCAGGAAAAGCTCGCGCATTTTTTCTGCGCGTGACTAACCTCCTTCAACGCGCAGTGACGTCAACTCGGCGATCGGCTACGTTAACTTTATTACTGTCTGTTGAGACCTGGTTTAGACCAATCAACTAGCAGCGTGCTGCGTCACCTCGCCAATCGCAGAGTTGACGTCACTGCGCGTTGAAAGAAGTTAGTCACGCGCAGGAAAAAAATGCGCGAGCTTTTCTTGCGCGTTTCGGAGCTTGTTGACTTGCCCTTTGAACAGAAACCACGCCTCATACTTCTACCACTTTATTTTCTTAAAGCAGAAGCTAGCTGCTGCTTTAAATTTTGCGCCCCTAGGGGTGTAAAGTTTAAAGCTTGCTATGTTCATGATGATGATCCTCTCATTTTGCTGGCACTCGTCTACAAAGGGGGATCGGCCGAGAACCGGACAGCAGAATCTAGCACCCAACGTAATTCACGTAAAAAAAAAAAACGTAAATAATGTATGAATATGCTACACGAGCAAGCTTGACATATGGCCCTCACTCGGTAGCTTGGTAAGCATATGTTTCGGGAGTGAAGTACATGAACTGGATCCGTTACGTGGAAGCTAGACATTTATTCGTCCCTCCTCTGGATTTTCAGCAAGGAGGTGCACGTGGACGCAGAAAACAGGACATGCGTAAAGTTGTCACTGCTTCTTTAACCAAACGCAATTTACAGCTTTCTATACTTTATTCTGTAACCGCACTACTGCACTCAGCAGCAGGGAGAGACATGCAGCAAGTGCGAGAAAAAACCGAAATGTAAATACAAAAAGGTTAACCAAGCGCGATCTAAGTTTATTCCATATCGCTCCGTCGGCTTCTTATGCCAGAATTGTGCAGTCGTGCGCCTGCAGCTGGCTTTTAAGGGGTACTGTAGGCAGACTCCCCGACTTCAATCTATAATACTGTCATATTGACGCGCTCCGCGGAACAACGCTAAGTTAGAATGGCCGTTAAAAGACATTTCGCGTATCTAATCACCCAATAAATACGGGAGATGCTTATGAACTTGGACAAACCCTCGTTAATGGCTCTCATAAGCGCTTCGATCTGAAAATGCGGTCACAAACTCTGAGACATTTGCCCCGCTTTTAATGTGCTCGCTTAAGCGAGTTTCCAGGCGACGTTGCATCAACAGTCTATAATGATTACGTCGCACGTAACAACGCATGGCGCGGACTCCACTATGACTTAAGTTTAAAGAAGACCACCTTAATTTCATTTTTTTGCGTGTCCTCACTCCAAACATGGGCGCAAAAAATTTATAAGCGTGGGAATAGTTCCGAGACAACACATAATCGATTTCCCTTTAGAGACCTTCCTGCCATTAAGAAAAAAACAAACCGTGGCACCCAGACTATGAAATATCGCGACAGCTGTAAACGTATGTACTTTACGGGAGCATACACTACATTACAATTTCATTTCTCTTCAGTTTTTTTTTTCTTTAGCCCTAAGGTAAGCCGATACTTGCACGACTAGATACAGATATGCAAACAGGGAGGAGGGAACGGCGACACACTGGCTTCATCGATATTCGACAATGAATATTTTGATGAAGCCGTTTTCTGACGCTACGCCAAAGTATACCACTAAGGCCTTGAATACCTGTTTTAGGTATGGAGGTGAGCACATTAAAGTGCTTTATACGGTAACTACACAAAGGAATGTATTTACAGCGTAAAAACGCACTTAGATTTACAGCACGTCGATTGGCTAGCGATGTATACATCGTCAAATACATCAACAGACAATTAGGTAAAGCTTTCTCGCACGTGAGATACAGCAGTTGATCTTTAGCGTCGTGTACGCTACAGCGGAATAATAAAAGAAAACAACATCCTTGAGCGCACCATATACATAAAGTACAACCGAACTAAAGATTTCTTAACCTCCGACTGCAGATTGCGTCATCCGAGTCTTTCGCTATGCGCACATTACAACGGATATGTAGGTCGTGCGTAAAATGGGCCACCATGTTTCCAGTGTTGTCCGAAAGCTTTATTACGCCACTGCCGCATTGGCCGGCCAAGCGCGAATACGCGGCATCTTGCGTGACTACGCCTTCGGGTGCGGTTACTTGCGCAACTGTATACATTCGCTTTACGTACCTTTATCCTTTTTTTTTCTTCTTTCAGGGCCACCGTTGTAAAATCCTTTACGGAGTTCTACGCCAACCTGCTAAGTCAAAGCGCAGGCTATTGAGGAGAGAATCACCACGGACTTTGCACCGGAGAACCATCGGCCATAGCGTATTCACAGTGTGCAATCCTGCGGCATTTCACTTAGCTCTGTGTTAAATCACAAGCGTGTGTTCTCGCTTTTTTTTTTCTTCTCGCGAACCATACTGCCTTTTGTAAATACATCGCCTTATTTTGTGCCTATACACTTCATGTGTTCCGCCTCGCTTTGTTTTTCATTTTTCTTTTTTATTACGCGGGACCGGGACTACACTGCCAAGTCAATTTCGTCCAGCCAGTGTTTCACGACGGGGTAGAACTTTGCCTTCCAGGCGTCATCCAGTCTGCGTTCCTCTTGCACTTGCTTGTAGCGCCATTCCGGAATCTTCGTAGACTGCTTGTTGAGCTTGTAAAAGGAGCTCAGCTGAAAGATTGTTGTTAGACAAGATCAAGCGTGGAAGTGTCACTTCCAGTCGAAAAGCTTTTGTGGAAACAAAAGATTCACAAAAACCAGACGAACTACCGATTACAAGCTAGTATTGCTGCAATTTTACGTAAAGTGTGTGACAAAGCCTTCTTCGGGCATTCGTTGACAAGTTCGATAACGAACGTGCATGTCTTTGGATACAATGGGGCTGTTCTACATGGCACACACAGGTTGTGGAATGACCAGCTGTGACTGAGCTAAAGTTGTCTCTCGAGCCCCTACTATTGAGGAACATACCAATCTTTTGTTCGTCCACTGCTGATAATTTCAAGTTTACATCTTCACTCGAACATCAAAGTTCTGTAATTGGAAGGTTCAGTGACATTTCCAGTAGTTTGCCGCCTGTTCGTTCGAGCAGTCTGAACAGTTCTTGTGTCATATTGTAGGGGCTACGACAGGAAGCAATTCAACTCCCATACCTGAGTGCAAGAAATTAATGCGAAGAGAAACATTTGCGGTTCCAGAGTGGACGCCGAACTATTTTTGAATTTCGATAATTCATTCATTGTTATATCTGTCACATGTATGCGCACGCGAATAACGCCACAAGATGAAGCTATACGCACACAATGAAACACGATATAAAACTTAGAATTCTTTACATCGCAATGATGCTTAGCTGAAAAAGTATGGTCGATAAACCTTTTATTAAGCTACAATCTGAGTTTTTTTTATGTTTTACATGGTTATTTTAATTAGATGCACTTGAATTTGTAGATTCGTACGTGCATTCCCTGAATTTGTGAAAAGGCGTCCGAATTCTGATGTCTGAAACAAAGTTGTAAGTGCGAAAATTTGCCAAGAAGAAACTCTCCGCAAATCCACCGAAAATACAGCGCCAGCGTTTCGTACGTCTTCCCACTAATAACGATCTCCGGCTTCTTCCACGTTTTGGCGCATTGTGCTTCTTATAGTACTACCTTGAAAAACTTACCGTCTTGGCGTCTGCTGATTCACTGGCCGTCTCTAGAAGCGATTCTTCGATTTGGAAGAGTACCTTCGGGAACGTCTCGGAACCTGTCATAACAAAGGTTAGTGGTTTGATTGAACAAAGTTTCGGTACATGGGAATGGTCTATCAGACTCGTAAAAGAAATAAACATGAAATAACGATGGCCTGTCCCTAGTTTGCGATCTCTGAGACAGCCGTCTTATTCCAATAAGCACTTGGCCAATCTGGCCTGACTATCTGCAGCCACGGCCACGTGCAACTCGATTAGGTTAGGTTATGTTAGGACGCTTGTCCTTGCTACTGCCGCAAATGCACAAAGTGTGTTTTCTTCAATACCTACTCAGCGTCCAAGAGCGCTTAAAAGTTTAGATATGAATACATGGCATGAGGTATTGCGTTGCTGCATTCAGTATAATAAAAAAGACATGCAAAAATGATTTTCAGAAAGTTACACAGAGCCCTGGCAATGACACTTAGGCAGTTACCGACGGAATGTATAAATATATGAGTGCCCAAGGTAGAAGGAAAGAACCAATTGACAGGAAAGACGCTCAACTTACAACTCTTTCCTTTCAAGTGCTTCCTTCCTTCTATTCTGTGCTCTCATGCATGTTTGCACATTATATTGGCCAACTGGCCCAGCATTCCACTATTTTGTTACAGACGGGTTCATACCCAAATTCGGCTTTATTTCTGAAAACTTAACCAGGTGCTTACACTAGCAGCTCGTGCTTCTATTGCGGGGAGGTTACTAAATTAAAGCACATGCTCTGGCGATGCCCCTCGTTACTGGGCAGCTATGAAGCCAATCAAGCCAGGCAGTGCTCCGCCACCAGAAGCCACAGCGACGGGGATAAGCTTTGAGCCGTCCAAAGGGCACATGATGCGGCGGTCAGGCCTGCTTTTCCCCAACGTGGGAGCAGCCTAGTCACGCCTCTGAGGAATATTCATAAAATTTGACCAATAGTGGATAATCACCGCTCTTGGTCACTACAGAAAACAGAGGACCGAGTACGCTTATCAAGACAGGCTGACAAATTTTCTTGTTCTGTGCACAAATCGCTACTTTGATACCCGTCTGGCGAGTACAGACGTAAATTGTTCTTTAAGAATATGCACCTCAGAATAAATACTTCAAAAGTCCAGAGCATTGTTCAAGAATGCCCATCTAACGAGGATTTTCACAGCTAAGTTGTCACTTTGCGCAAACATCACGTGCCCCGTGACGCCCTCAGGAAAATACAAGTGTTCCATACTCCCCGCCTATATATATGCTACAAGCGGCACTGGGTATAATTCCTGGGGAATATATATGTGCAGAAATACCCAGAATTATACTAGGGCGGGAGCCTTCCATGGCAGCTCGCCGGTAGAGCATCGGACACACAAGTGGAAGGTTTTTCGGGTTCAGATCACACCGACGGAACGGGCAATGTTTTTCTCCATCTCAGTTGATTTAAACTTACGTCACAATTCATACGCTGCAATCAGCACACCAGTCAACGTCCTGTATTAGTCTCCTGTCCTAATAGTCTATTCGACTCTATTCAGTTGTACTTTTTTTTTCAACATCAGTCTACATTTCATTATATAACACCAGCGCTCAATGCCTTGCGTTTGTATTCCTGCCACAGCCGTTCACTTAGACGTGTTGCGCAAGACGTTTAGGGCACTCATTTAAACAGCCCCTTGCACAACCTTTCTTTAACTATATGCATAAGGCCATACGTCAAACACTCATCTGAACCGAACCACGAAGCTGAACGCAAAAATATAAACGAGCATTCCGTTTTTTTTTCTCGCTTACCTGTTGTGAATGGAGCCCCACTCGTCGTTGATGAACTTGAAGGCGACTGGTTTGCCCTCGTGGTTGTCAGAGAAGGACGTGAACAGACCGGGGATGTCTTCCTGCCGGATCACGTCGTCGGGTGCCACCACGGACTTGAGGTAGCTGCGCGCAAGACAACGTCGCACGGCGGGTTCATTGACAAAACAGAGCGGCCGTATGCGCCGTCTCTTCGACACTGGCTACCGTGAGCAACGCACTGTGTTTTCTATATGAAGAATCAATGAGTGGTTATCGAGAAAATCATGCAAGCATGGCAGAAACAATGCTACGAACAAAGTGACGCGTTTGGGGGTGTCCTGTAAGGAAATGCGTACGCACTGCAGCCGCATTGCTCCACTTCAAGCCTCCATTTTCGTACCGAACTTTTGCATTGTAGCTTGGATTTGCATACGGCAAACTCTTTTTGTCGTTTACACTTCCGCAATGTGAAGGCTTTCGACATCGTCAGAGCTGCATAAATTTTTTCGCTTATTTCGTAGTGCGAACTAGGCCCTCCACGTAACTATTTTTTTTAATCTCGGTATAATGCGTTTATTTTCTTTCTATGTATAAGCTATAAATATTGAGTCGATTCTGGGTTTCACTCTTTCTCGCTCTCTCTCTTATTTACAATTCGTAGTCTTGCGCGTAAAAGAATGTTTTTCTGCATTTCAATACGTACGTGGAGAGTGCCTAGTCGTGAGCAACACGAGATAGAAAACTGGAATAGCATTTCAAAGCTCACAGCAGCTAAACTAAGTTGGCAAGCTCAAAAGTGTTTATGACACTGAATGCTCAAGCGGAAAGTTACTTCCGGCAATTCAATGCATCACATCCACACAAGCACGTCACATCTATTCGTTTAATAAGCACGAATTCGTCGTACCAGCTCCGATTGTTCGCTTTAGTACGTCCCATGCACGCTTACAAACGAACGTAAAAAAAGATAAACTCGTTTCTTTGTACACTGTCGACGCCATCGGAATGACCCTTACTTTTCGAGAAGCTGTGCGCTCCGAGAGCAGCTGAGAGCCTTGATGATATCCGCTCGCTCGGACGCGTCATCCGACTCCTGCAGTCGGTCCCAGAGGAACTTCCAGTTCTTCTCGCCGCCTGTCTTCACCGCCTCGCAGAACACGGTGTACCGCAGGTGCGACGGCAGTCTGCGCGTGCCACACACACGAAAAGAAGGCTTCGTACGCATTACAGCTTACTTTGGTAGGTCCCGAGTACCAAATTGCTTTATTTTTTTTCAGATGCCTGTTTTAGTGTAGGAGGCTTTATTGACGCAATGCCCCATTTCTTTGTGTACTGACAAGATATAGAAACAAAATGAAAGTGCCGCCAACATTTCAAACGGCGGTGCGCACCTTTTCAACGAAGGTTCCCTGGACGCCACCATAATCCCGTCTACAATGTGATAAATGTGCGCTGCCTTTATAAAATGCACTGCCGAAGCAGCCACGTCGGCTTGAGTCCGCCATCGTATACTCGCGTGCCACAGGCCGGGAATGAGCTGCTACACATATCCATTGAATAGGTCTACGTATGCGAACCGCTTGCGCTAATCGTTAGGTACGAATGACGGTTATTCATACATTGGTTTTTAGGATGGGCGTAAAAATGCGATACGGTACCAGTGGTCTTTTATAATAATAATAATAATAATAATAATAATAATAATAATAATAATAATAATAATAATAATAATAATAATAATAATAATAATAATAATAATAATAATAATAATAATAATAATAATAATAATAATAATAATAATTTTCGAACAGCAAAGTAGTTCTTAGTACAGCCTTTCACGTGCTGCGGCCGTCGTAAATCAAACGGGTATGTGCAAAAGAAATTGGGTAACCGCCCTTTCGAATATGCGCCCCTCTTCGCACCACTCCCAGTATACTCGCTACTCAGAGTTACTGCGTCACTTAACCCCTCTCTTTCCCCTCTTTCCTTTCTAAAATCTCTTCCCCACTACTCGCCGGTATACGCCCGCTACTACTCCCGCCACTCCTCCAATGCATTCAGCCCACTTGATTACAGCACACTCAACACCACTGCGTTCAAGTCTCGCTTCATTCAAGCAGCTAAAATTGGCGAAGCCAAAGGCTTCTTTGTGAGCCACCATATTTGATGTTTCATTAATGTCCACCAAGCGGAGCTGGTTGAATTTTTTTTTCACTTCATCACACAATCATGGTATAGTTTACAACGTATGCGATTCAGTTCTGTAGGTAGAAAAGGTACGGACAGGTATGACACAGTTGAAGGTTTGGAAAGAGCTTTCCACGTATCGTGCGACACAGCTTGCGGACCCCCTAATCGCGGCGAGCACGGCGTGGCCTATAGCCACGATTCCCTTTTCGACACGGTGCAGCAAGCGCCGCCTTTCCCTCGACACTAAAGCTGCGCCGAAGATAACTGATTAATATTGGTTTTATGCGTGATAAGAGTAATATGATTAGAAGGCATGCCGTAGTGGGAGGTTCCGGATTAAATCCGACCACCCGGGTGATCGCCTCATTAAATGCACTACTCACTCATCGCCCACGGTGGTACTCTCCTTCACCTCCCGGAACATCTTCAAGGCCTTGTCGATGCACGGCTGGTAACCGTAGTAGCAAGTCAAGAAGGCCAGCTCGGACTCGAGTTCCCTGCACCAGCGAATCGCACGTGCCGGGCGAGCGTTCGGAAAAACCGCAACATGAAGTTTACATTACAAAGCTCACTTTTTACTTTGGTGTAACTGGGTGTAAACCACAATTAACTGTGATAAGCGACAAACAAGCGGCGCAGGCCACGGCACAATACTTCGAAATTTTCTCGATTGTTTTCTAATGTTCTGACAGTATTAAGCAAACGACACGAGTAGTCGTGTTATGGTGTTCATGCGGGAGCTAAAGCGAACTCCCGTTATAATGCTGGAATTTTCGATCATTCGCGTATAAAAATACGCCTTCAGCCGACTATCAAATTACCGACGGCCGACGGCCGATTACCGCTATTAGTGTACAGAGTGCGTGGCTTGTACTTTTAAGTTTAAAATCTCAGTACAACAGTACAACCTTCTTCCCCATCACAATAACGTGACAGTGCATAAGGGGTAAAATTGCGTTCTTTCCTTGGTTCTTTACTTGTATCGTCTACAGCATCGAATTTCAAGAAATGAGGGAAGCAATCTGCCAAAGAGAGCCATTTCACGACTCTCGGTGTGATGTTCCTTCAATATATGGCCGTCTACCCCGGTGGTACGACTGACTGGCCGCATGCTTGCCATTGAATCAACGAGCCCATCATAAGCCAGTCAGTTGTGCATCGGCACATTAACTGCTAGGTTGACGAGCATTAAGCACTCGAAGCACGAAAGGTACATTTTTTTGCAGTGGTAAAATGTTTGAATAATTTGAAGCCACGTCAAATCTCGCAAGCCAGTTTTTCGAAACCAACTAGAGGAATCATTCTCAGGCCGTTTTAGTCCTGCAGGACGAAGACCGCTTCCAATGATCTCCAGTTTACTACATCCTGTGCCAGCTGATTCTATTTTGTACCAATGAACTTCATACTTCTCTGACTCCTCTATCTGTCACCTTCCACGACTGTGTTTTCTGACACTTGGCAAGCACTATGTTGATTTTACTGTCCACCTGTCTAGCCTAAGCTTAACGGCGCCAGCCCAAGTCCATTTCTTTTGCTCTGCGCCAACTAAAATGTCTTGAAGCAACTAGGACGTCAACTGCCAGCATACATCACTAAATGTGAACCCAACGACCCCTACAGCAGCGCTAGCTGCAATAATAATACTAAAATAAACAGGAACTTAGAGGCTCATAATTGAACATTCAACACCAAGCCTACGACAGTACATAAAAATAATATAGCACTACTAGTGATGAACATTTTAACGGGAACAGCGGCTTTCTTACGCGGACAGAAGAGACGTCTCGTTGCCATCCCAAGAGATGTTTGCGAAGTTGGCGCTCAAGAGGGACGACATGTATCCCTGCGAATCGATGTACATGAATGTTAGAATAGTTGTTCGACGTGCGAACCAAATTCACTGCAACATATGGAAGTTCAACGCAATAAAACAGGGCTAAACGTGAAATTCACGGATCGCAAATGTATATGGAAGGTCAACGCGATAAAAACAGGGCTAAACGTGAGATTCACGGGTCACAAATGCATCATAGGTTAATTTTTTTTTTTTCAGATGATTTACCAACGAGAGCTAGCCTAGAAAGAAACAACAGAACTGACGGTCCCGCACAGACTCTTCTTCAGTACACGGTAGTACCATTTTACACGCTCTCGCAGACTGTATACTTTCATTGATCGTTATACAAAATGAATACCGTATTTCCTTGCGCATAACCCACATCCTGTATTCTTGCGCATAACCCACATTCTGTAAAGTTTTCAAAAAATGATACTGGCGTATTACTGCAAAGCTAGCTTTTTTGCATTGCAGAATAGCGTAGCTGTGAAGTCACCTTTACAAGCCAGTTTTCTTTTTTGTTTTGTTTCGACTTTAGCCTAAAATTATATGAATTTGTGGAGCTTATACCCAAGAAAATATGGTAATAAGGTACGTTGGTACCGGATCCTTGACAGAAGTTCAGCCTTAGCTGTGTTTCACATTTATTCACTCCGCTTAATACAATAAGAATGCTAGAGAGCCCTGCTTCCGCATAAATGATTTGTCATTCGTTAACGTGCGTGTATCGATCTTAAAAAAAAAAAAAAATGGATGCGCACCTTCCACTTCGAGTACGACTCGGTTGTCTGCAGCCGGACCCCAACGTCCTTCATCTTCTCGAAGGCGGCTTTCCAAGGGATGTAGTCTTGCTCCTTCAGCAGGTACTTGGTGGCCTCGAGGGCTACTGTGTAATTCACGAGGCCGGCCCTAGAACGATCGGCACCAAAATGATTGCAAGTCATATATACGAATTCAAGAACCAGAGGTCCACGTCTTTTTACGATACGTCGGTCTTCGAGCTTGCCAGGACCAACTGCAACTGTACACCCACTCCATCTTCCGTCTCTAGTTTCCCGGTGTGCACATAGCTCAAAGAGCGCTCTCCTAGAACGACGGACGCGTGCGCTGCATAACACCAGACTGGTGTGTACGATGTCGTGGTTTGCTTTATTGCGGTCGGAAACCGTACAACGCGGCTACGCGGGCTAACCGCGTTGCGTCTTTTGTGCCTGGCGTTCGTACTACTGGCTCACACCTGCTGAAAAGCTATGCTGTGTCACTTATCGAACTGGCAGCAGCACTGATAGTAAGTCCAAGGCTATTGCTATACTCTAGCAAACGTTAGTGTTATCACACTTTACGTTGATCTAGGAGCGCTGCACCCCTAAAATCTCAGTGAACGTAATACAGAGTTGACTTGAACAGATCACTGTTGTTGCTGAACCTGCAGCAAGAGTATCACCTAGACGTAAATGTGGCAAGGTGGTGGAACAATACCCAACAGCCTTGCAACAAGGTCAAGTGATTTTCACTGTTGTTTTGTTGTTAGGATGTTTTGAAGTACACAAGCTCAGAACGCTTGTAGAATGGTGCGAAACTTATCACACCAAAATTAAAAAAGAGAAACAGAAATACTTACTTCGCCAAGTCGAACAAATCGTTCTGAATCTGAGCGCGGTTGAGTGGGTGGATGTACTGAAAAAAAAAGAAAGAAATAATCAAGCGCTGACGTCTGTAAACACATGTAAAAAAACTAAACCAATGTTTTTATCGGGTCTTTCGCTCTCTCTTGAAATAAGAACTTGCGTTTTTTTCTTCTTAAAGCCCCTTTCGCCCAACATTTGCCTAGCAAAACGATTAAACACGTATTTATACTAAGGTTAGCCATGTAGACGACTGTACAACTTCTAATACAAGGTATCAAGAGGACCATTTGAGATTGAGCTTGTTGACTTTACCGTGTGGTTCCAAAGTAGCTGACGAATGATCAAGTCCCAGTTGTGGACGTCGTAGTTCACTTTGTAGTAGCCCGAGAACTTGCTGTTTATAAGGACCCAGTGATGGGGGCCAGGTAAGTTCTCTAGTTGGCCTGAAAAAAAAATGTATGTGTGTGAGTACCGCTTACGGGCCTATACTATAATGTCGTTGACTACGGTACGCCTATTACAAAAAGCATAAGACAGTGGTGTTTGGGACAGAGGTTACTTGCTTAGAACCAATCGCACTTTAAATACGAAAAGCTCGACATATATACCTTGAAATCTATGCAGCGTTTTTCTGGAAGCCCAACAAGCTTCACACGACGAAGTGCTTACTCTGTGCTCGCATATGACCCAACGTTTAGAGGTGCTCTGCGAGCATTACATAAATTTATGACCTTACAACATGCATCTACGACGCGTAAACCATAATCTCTAATAGAATGAAGCCAGTGATTCCTAAAAAAAGTATCTCAAAGTATCTCTCTATAAAAAACCTACTACTGACACTCTTGCAGAAGTTTTGTTTTTGTTTTTTAGCTTCACGAGGGCACCAACCAGGGGTCAGAAATTAATATTTTTGGGACGTCCCGCGAAAGATATCCAAAATTGTCAATGCGATGTGCATCCCATTGCACACCTGAACAAGAGAAGTGGCGTTGGGCAGAAATTAGATATTTAATAGACGACGTTTTCTCACAGGACTACAGTTTGTCATAAAGTTAATGCCAACTTCAATAAAAGAACCCCATAGCGTTCTACATGGAATACATCAGAAGTGCACGACAAGGCGACGGGTAACGCTGTTGTACAATATGCCACCGTGCCGTTGTAGCCGACCATACACAAAGTCACGTTCTACATACCGCATGTTAGCTTCAACTTCGATGTTTCAATGTGTTCCATATGATAGCCATCAAAAATAACTTAAAACCACTTTAATGAAGCAGGCTAACTGAGAAATTCGTCCAGTGCAAATCATGTCAGATATTAGAAAAAAGTCAGCCGAACAAGTGTTCCTGCCTCAAACAAAGCCTTCGCACAAACTAGATAGGAAATGTACACATTCAAGCAAAGGACACAGCGACCGCTGTTAAACTAACTAGTATGTCAAGGATTTCGTATCTACCTTAATTGTCGAACGGTTGCGTATTATACCCACCTTCCTTGTCATACAGCCAAATGGTTGGCATCGTGTTGTCAAACAACCGCTGTTCAGAAGACACAAAGGTAATTGGAATCGGCCATGTGAACCTGTAACAGACGCATTTCAATGAATGTCCCAGAAATGGCAGGTGAAGATACGCAATGTACAATGTGTTTTTTTTATTGTTAAAAAATTATACAATCACACTAAGCAAATTTTCGGCCTCACAGTCGTCCTGGTGCTCCGTACAAAGTATATGTGCAATAATATCCCATCATCTCCCACACGACTGGCAGAACATTTATATTCAATGTTTCAATAGGAAATGGCGCTAATGACGCCGCCAGAGGTTTGGACCAGGATTTGGGCAGATAAAAAATTGACGCGGTGGACTTAGTTCACTGTTTTCAATGTGCTTATATATTTTTCAGCGCCTATACAGCGTTGTTGGACAACGAAACATGCAGAACCAACTAGAGAATGAGTCGAAAAAATTTACTCCGACTGAACTCAACAAAAATTAGTGAAGTCGGAGTAAACGTTGTTGAATCATGAACTCATACGGCATTTGGAACATTTTTACGACTAGATAATATTACAACGTATATTAATATGAAAGCTTTTCATGCCTCACAAAAGGCGAAAATTTACCATTGGCGTCGTAAACACGAATGATGCAAAAAGGCATCCCGTGACATCACATGGCGTCATGGCGACAAGAGTGATGATAAAAAACTGTGACATCATCTCATCATGGCGTCATTATTACGGTACGCGATAACGTCATCACACGGCATCATCGCCTCATCAAAGATGGGCTGATCACGGAGGCAGTCCAAAAATAAGTGCAGAAAGCTTGCGATTCCTCATATCTTGGAGGCAAGCCCCGCCACAGTGGTCTAGTGGCTAAGCTACTCGGATACTGACCCGCAGGTCGCGGAATCGAATCCCGGCTGCAGCGGCTGCATTTCTGATGGAGGCGAGTATGCTTTAGGCCCGTGTGCTCAGATTTGGGTGCACGTTAAAGAACTCCATGTGGTCGAAATTTTCGGAGCCCTCCACTACAGCGTCTATCCTATTCATACGATGGTTTTGGGACATGAAACCCCACATATCAATCAATCTTAGAGGCAATGCCAAACCCCGTCAGGTTGCAGAAAGCTTTCGGAGAGGGGGGAGGACGAACACGCCGACTGACAAAAAAAGTATTGACTTCGCAAAATACCTAAATTCTCACCTCGACTCCCGTTCCTCCGGTTCGAGAGCAAACTTGCTCTGAACAAGCGTGGCTGCGTTTTCATCGTAGACGCGATTAACCATGAGCATTGGGAATCCTGGCTGTGTCACCCACGGCTCCATCACGTTCGCCACTTTCAAGGGACGCTTCTTCGGCATCGCCTGCCAATGTGTAGCGGGCGAGCAAGGTATAAATTCATGCGCAAAGCATTTGACGCAAAACCATAAACATAAGCATGCCCAGCACGTTAGTCGCGCACAGCTATTGTCTAATGTAAGAAGACACAAGCCTATAAATCCTCTCATACAGGTGCTCTAGCGTATGTGTTAAACAAAATATTGGTTCACATCGTACGATACATGGCATGCCTCACGGACATAAAGGTTCATAAAACATGAAAGTTCGCATATTGCAGCAGGCCACGATGCTGTCAAACTGCGTTTCGCTGTTTAACGTGTTCTGTACCCGCGAAGAGTTTACCTTACTTCTTCATAATGCTCTATTTGTATATTCTAGTCCTAAAATTATGAACACTAGAATGTAAACATCGTCTTGTGGTGATCACAAAAACAACACTTGGACATTTGAGAACTATACGACTTTCAATTTAATTAAATTTGTTTCTGGTCCTTTTGAATTCGCATTTGATTCGCTAAACCAAGGTTCTACCAAAACATCCTTTTAAACAAAACTTACCTCTGTAAATGCCTCCCACACGAATGCGGAGGTCACGTTGCCGAACATCCTTTTGTCGAGGACTTTCTGGAATGTGATGATAAGCGAGACTGAAAGTAAGGAACTGCACAAGCAATGGTGAAAAAATGACACAGTTTGCTTACAACTTCCCAAACTTGTTTTTTCTTTTCTTGTACCTTATTCTCGATTTGTTTGTGAACAGAAAATAACGATTAAAGAGAAGTTTTTCTCTTTTTTTTTTTGCGAAGGGGTTGGAAAAGACAAGATGGCGAGGTATATACGCATTATTCATATGCTTAGAGCGTCTGAAATATATACCGCACACGCACAGTACTAATTTGAACTACATTTATGAAATTTCTATCAATTATCATTTCACATAGATGCCCTTGTGTTCAAATTCTTCTCAAAGTTTGCATAACTTGTCATGCTTTAATTTAACTCCCGTATTCCGTGTTTATTTTTCACGTGTCCCAATTTCCTTTCTTATCATAGAATGTCTCATTTGTCATCTGTAAGGTGTTTATCAAGTTCTAAGGCGGTGTTCACTTAGACAGAGTCGACACTCTGTGTAAATTAACTAAATAATTATTTACTAGTTTATAAAAACACTTAATCTGCTGTAGACATGCGCCACTATGTATGTATTCTGAGCTTATGCGGTTTAGTTAAGCTACTACAAAATCTAAGCACTAATCAACACAGTGTAGGCATTCTGTGTTCAGTCAAATCGATTGGGAGAGATGCAATTAAGCAACGTCAGCTACAGACAAGTCAATGTACATGCATCGGCCAAATCCGACAAGGTGCTGGGCTTGCTTACACATGCCGAGCTCTCAGCATACCACTATCAACTGACTAATGCGTAAGAGAAATGTAATCAACGAATAATCATTAAAGCTGTATTTTTGCTGCTAAATTTACGGACGTTTCACAGCACATTACACATAAAAAAAGCTTACGTATACGCCCATCTTGAAGTGCTCTTCTCCCACAGCCATATCGAGCATGCGCAGAAGGGCTACGGCCTAAAGGAAAAAAACGAAGTATGATTAAGAGAAACTAGCGTCAAAACAAACGCGTTATGACTGAGCCAAAGTTATAATGCCTTCACCTGACGCACGTAAGGTTGTTCATAAAAACAGGCGCAAGGAATGCTACGTTCCTGGTATACGTGGCTTTGGTCGATACGTGGGGTTTAATGTCCCCAAACCACAATATGATTATGAGAGACGCCGTTGTGGAGGGCTCCGAAAATTTCGACCACCTGGGTTTCCTTAACGTGCACCTGAATCTGAGTACATGGGCATACAGCATTTTCGCCTCCATCGAAAATGCACCCGGCATTGAAGCCGGGATTCGATCCCGCGACCTACGGGTCACCAACCGAGCACCTTAGCTACTAGAGCAACGCGGCGGGGCAGTATACGTGGGTGGCGTTCCAAACAAACGAATGTGGTCAGAGGTCAGGCTACCGGTTGTGTGCTGGTAAACAAAAGCTTTCCTAACGCTATTCAACAAGTACATTCGATCACATTAGGCTGGCATCCTGCGCATCTGCATCGTGCACTGCCCCGCTGTGATGTTTTAGTGGCTAAGGTACTCGGCTGCTGTCCCGCAGGTCGCGGGATTGAATCCCGGCTGCGGCGGCTGCATTTCTGATGGAGGCGGAAATGTAGGCTCGTGTGCTCAGATTTGGGCGCACGTTAAAGAACCCCAGCTGGTCGAAATTTCCGGAGCCTTCCACTACGGCGTCTCTCACAGTCATATGGTGGTTTTGGGACGCTAAACCCTACATATCAACCAATCATCAGCATCCACTATTTCCGACGAAAGCGTAAAACTATATAGCCGTCACAATCACCATGCCTTTAACATTGACCCATTGTAAAATTACAAGAGCGTATACCAGCGTCCTTATCAATACAGCGGACAATCGACATTTAAAAGGTGACGGCGAAACATCCAGCGATAGAGGCGTTGCACAGAGGCAACTGATATCCCCGTGTTAGTGCACGGACACGGTGATAAGGTAAGCGCTTGATGTCGTGTTAATGGTATCAGCGCATCGCATGCAGGTTTTTAAAGCGAAAGCTGTTCGAGACCTAAACAAGGGTGCCGTAGTTGTCCGTCACTGGCGCCGGTATCCGTAACGGATATCGCATGAAATAAGGGAAAAAATATCCTGGATAGAACGGGGTTCGAACCTGGGTCCCGTCCATGCGAGACCCTGCATTCTATCACTGAGCCACGCCATTTTTTATTCATTCCCGGTTGGGCTTCACACACAGATTGCTCGACACTACCGTGCACGAAAAGCCAAAACAAGCGTTGTGTCGGGAAGCAACCGCGTTAACATGCGCTATATATCATGCTAGAAGAGTAAATATAACGATCAGGCGACAAAAAATAAGAACTGTGCAACCACACTACACAGTATGAACTGCATTGCGAGTGGGTCGTTGAATGCTTCCGATTCATTACAAAGGGCTCAGCTATATTTCTTCATCGCCATTAGCCACTGAATCAATTAATGGAGTAATGGGTGCCTTGCAAAGCATATACTTGTGTCCCAAAAGAGTTTGCAACAGGTTCTATAAACCGTACTCTTCCAGCTGTCACTGTTACTGTGCTGCGCTTTCTGCGCAGGCCTGCTTTTATTTTTCAGTTATTCGGGTATAGGGGCCATTAACATTCCACCGATATATTTATCCACTTTAATAAAGTTAGCCGCCATAGAAGAATGCTGCTTTGTCGTCATCGAAGCCGCCATGTTGGAGCACCGGTAAGCTAAGAACCTGCGTTCGTGACGTCACGAGGCGTATAACCTTGATTTGCCTATATGCCGAATGGCGTACTGTCACCTGCTGTCCCATGAAACATATTCAAGCAACACGCATGCAAAAGTAAATTTTTTAGCACGTATAAAACAGGCGTAGCTTATACGATCTCTCTAGTTTAGTTCCCCGAAAGAAGGCCTCCTTCTGCGTTCAAGGTTATGTAATTTATTTCTGGGTGAACGCGGATGTTTTACATTAAACGCGCCGTCAAGGTATTCATGTGAGAAAATATTAAGATAACCGAGCTCCCGCCTACTGCTGACGTACGATACCTTATCACCATTTGGTATCATAAAATCATTCTGATTGAACATGAATCGTTCGGTCAAAGCCTCGTGTTTAAAGACCTTCCGGGATAAATTAAATAAATGTTACTTCGAAACCACACGTAACCATACGCTGCAGGAAGAGTTCTGTTAGGATTGCAATAGGATGGAAAGGTGGGCTAGTTGGTAATTCATGATGGTTCAGCGATGGTTCCGCGCTCCCAGTTCGCTGATCCATCTGTTAGGATTACCGAAAAAATCAACACAGTAAGCGAAAACGCACCTTTTGAGTGCTGAATACATTGAATGACTGATAGATCCTGTACTGTGTGTCCACGTTTGTAACCACTGCCGGGGCGTACTTCATGATGTCGTGCTTCATGACGGGAACGATCTCGTTGACGAGCATGAGGTCGTACTGAAGGACAGTAAGTGAAGAAAAGGAATATGTTAATCACCAAACTAGATGTAACCACATATCTCCACATGTACCATAAGCTTGGGGTTATTGTTCTAGACACAACACACAGGCATATCTCTCTATCTTGTCCTCTAAGGCAACTTGCAGTTGCATTCTGTTAATGTTCTATAAACAAAATCTCATGTCTTGAATATTTTCAAGCCAAGTGCCATTGTATAAATGTCAGGCTATGGAGAAGAGTTCCATTTTTTAAGTATATTTAGTGTGCACAAATTTACGTCTCTCACTTTTCCTCAAGAATTACTATACTAAGTACATAATTTAGTTTCACTTGCATCGAAACACCAGAGCATAAGTCAATTTTGAAAGATGCGAATCAATCACATAAAAAATTCCGAGAACAAACAACATGACAAGTCAGGTAAACGCAAGTATATGTGTCTAAACGGCCCGCCACAGTCAACTACCAACACAGGGGTAAGGCCACTACCGATTTGGCAGTCTGGTCGAAGTACTCGAGACAGCGGTACTGGAAGTACGTTGCGAATCCATCCATCAGCCAAACGTCGTCCCACCACTCTGGAGAAACCAGGTTCCCAAACCACTGTGAAAAATACGAAAAATTATAAATAAAAATGAAATAAACAGAAAAAGGTGCTAAATCATATATTTTGTTAAAGAAAGGTGGTGGCTCCTTTAAAGACAGACTCCTTTCGCCAAGGTTTCATCTGCATTATGCGCATTTGGTGAGCTATCTGTGGGTATGTATTCTCAGTTACTCATCGCAGCTTTCACACTAAACCTACGTAATTTCCGGAGCATAAGTTCGAATAAACCAAAGAAAATGCAACGAACATTACAACGTACAAAAACAAATAGGTGACAATAGATGACATAATCTGGGTCCACGTCCATAATGAATCCACGTCATGTACATGATGTCGTACACTTCAAGAATGTTCACGACAGTCGCTGTGCGAAATTTCATCGGAGTGTCTCCAAACGCAATAAGCTCCATGTTACAGTATTGCACCGTGCATTAGCATGTAGGCACGCGCGAGCGCATTCATGTTCATGCCTTTACACAAAAGGCAGTAAATGACGTTACGATGCGGTTCACTACCTACACTTTAGTCATCTGCGTACTTCGCGTACTCTCACGCAACAGCTCACTATTAGAAATATAGTCAAACACACTTATAACGATGCTGCTCTTAACAATATATCGGTTATAATAACAATGACAAGGCGCATACACCATGAAGCTTTGTAATGGTTTTAAGGTGAAATAAGCTACTATGTCACACTTGCGGTTATAGCAATGAATTATGCCTGCCCCAATGGCTACCACTCGCGGATGTAACTAAGCTTAGCCTTCTCGGTATGGCCAGCCTTCTCGGTATTGCCATAGCCTTCTCGGTATTGCCAGCTACGAGAGCCCCCTCAAATTTCCTCCCGTAACAGTACGTTGCACCGCACATCATTTCGGCATTGCGGCAAAGCTGAGTAATGACTGGTATTAGTGGATTTCGTTGTTTGCCAATAGCTTTGAAGCCACAAGTGTCTCACCTCGTGGGAGAAGGCGTGACAGAGGGAGAGCATGACAGTCTGCCTCTTGGATATCGACGAGTCCTCGGCATCGTAGAATGCGATCGACTCGGGCAAGTACAGGAGACCCATGTTCTGAATGTCACTGATGTAATGCTCCATGGCGATAATGTCTATGAATGAAGAGAGAGAGAAATGAGCTCGAACACTCTAATTACACAATGCAATAGATAATACGTTAGCAGGTCTAGGAGGTAAATGTTCGGTTAAGAGGTACAAATGATTGCCTGAGCCTCATCAGGATGTAGAAACCGGCTCAGTTTTGTGCAGAATCATTTCTTGATAAAAAAGAAAGTTGAAGTCACGGAGTAGAATGTCAGAATGCCAAGAAATAGATACAGCACGGTAAAAGATTTTCCGACAAAGTTTCAATCAGCACACTAAAAAAGGGGAGAAAGCAGGGTGCTTGAAGTCTGTAGTACAAATGTCGCGTAATCGCATGGCTTGAACTTCACATTGAAACAGCGGGCGGGTAACTCTGCTCACCAGTCTTTGGTAGTTGATACGGTGACGCGAAGTATTCTTCGTAGAACTGCAGTATCTGTGGGCCCATCGTAAGTAGGAAGTCGACGTCCTTGGCAGCACCAGGGCGCGCCCAAAGCTTCATCTAAGAAGTAATACCACAGAAAAAAAAACAATGTAATCGACTACGGACTGGTGTCGTTTAGCGCGTAAGATGCTAACGCTAGTAGGTGAGAAGAGAGAGTAAATTCCTTCCGAGGACAGCATCGCCTATTTTACTAAAGGCGAGCATCTGAAATAATTCTGATGTATAAGGCTAACTTTTCTTTAAGTTCTGAGCTGGTAATATACCGAAGCTGCATACAGTGAGTTATATAAAAGAACAGGCGCCTTCAACCTGGAATCACCGAGAGCATTAAGTAGGTAACGCTGCGTAATCTTACTTAGAGTTCTCATGGTTTTGTGTATGTTTACCATCAGAAATGCTCCCTTTAGATACGCAGACAAGATAAGTCTGTGCTAAAGGAAACTTACAAAAGTGCATTAACAGAATTGCCTTACAAACAGAAATCCTCATAAAAGAATACATACCGTGCTGTTTCCGTAAGACACGAAGTCGGATATGAAGAATCCGGTAGCGAACGTTGACATGGGAAAAGACGTGCCGAACACATCTGCTTTCGTGTCGTTGCGCCTGAAGAGCAGAATAATTTATAGTCTTACTAAACTTTATAGTCTAACTAAACTTGTGACTATTCAGCTCGTGATAATAGAACAATCTCTTCGACAAAATAAGATCCGAAACGCAGTACACTGTTCCTGCCGTCCTTTTTGTAGTACACGAGGAGAGAGAGAGGGAGCAATCGGGAAAGTTGTAGTTCGCTAGCTACAACGAAGAACTCACTTTTTATACGTTGCTGAGAGGGGCATGTTAGAGAGCGTGTGAAGGTTGTTGGGTCGAATGACTTCAATAAGGAAGGGAGCCTTGATTCCAGGCTCGTCGAAGCATGGGAAGGTGCGCCTGGCTTCGGTGGGCAGAAAGTTGGCGCCATAGACCCATCTGTCGAAAGAAAAAATGAACAATGAAAAAAAAAACGTACCGACGATGTCCAAGGCTTTGCAAAATCGTTCGAACATCACTGCACATTACAAGTATTATTCCCGAATTAATCACGAGAGCGAATAAAAAAATTAATGCGGAGAACTTCCAGTATACTATGTTTCATGCGCTCATACCATTTTATGCTGTCTTTCTCGAGACGCGCCCTTTTACAGGGCCCAAGCTACCGCTCTTGACACTGGCGCGAAGACATGATCTCCGGAAGCGAGGTCATTACAAGTGGCGACAAGTCGAGCATAAACGCATCTTTAGCGATAAGAAAAATTTGTCAGACGAAAAAGTAATTTGTGATTTGTGAGTGCGACATGAGCAAATCACCTTCCCCATCACCCCTGACAAGGTCATTGTTCTTTAAAGGGACACCGAACCACACCAAGTTCAAAGACTACAGAAAGGTTTCTTTATCGCCTTTACTGCCCTTTCTACGTGGACAACATAAGTAGTAAGTCCCGCAGGTCGCGGGATCGAAATCCCGGACTGCGATGGCTGCATTTCCGATGGAGGCGGAAATGTTGTAGGCCAGTGTGCTCAGATTTGGGTGCACGTTAAAGAACCCCAGGTGGTCGAAATTTTTGCAGTCCTCTACTACGTCGTCTCTCATATTCATATGGCGGTTTTGGGACGTTAAAACTCACATATCAATTAACATAAGTAGTAAGCGTTGAACCTATAAGCATTTCGCGTTTTTCGTCTATCTCTGCTTGCACAGTCAAAAACGGACAAAGCACAGTGTAATCGGTTGGGAGAGTCATGACGATCTATCGAGTGGTGATCTAGCCATACAGCAGAGGCACAGGCAGAATTTTTTTTTTCTGAGAGGGAGGGCACCTCCTTGATCTGAAAAATAGGCGGGGGGGGGGGGAGGGGGCAGGCAGGCAAATAGTCATTTTGTGCCCTGTATGCCATGACGAAAAAAAAATTATGGTGGGTTGGGTGCTTCTTGGGGAGGTGCCACAGACAGTGCACCAAGCGCGTCAGCGCCGCGATTTCGGACGGATAAACAAACCTCAATGCGCAGTTTCTTTCCCGTGGAGCTATTCGCGAGGTGTCCATCTATGGGGTATGGCTACTTCAGTGGAGTGTGTTCAGTTACTCGAAAAAGTGTCGAGGTGTGACGTCACGATACTCTTGACCACGTCGACGCACCGAACCAGTCAGCACATTCCCAGCATAAAAAGAGCGAAAGCGGACGAGACGAGCAGTAACAAGACTCTTAAACAAACTTAAACAAAGTATGTACTTGCATATGAACATGCTGCTGTGTTTGAAGAACGATGCAGGGAATGCGTACGTACCGACCTTCGAGGTGCATCTGGTGGGCAGTCCTGTTTAACCTAATTCAAGTACTAACGTGAATAGAGTTCATGCACGGCCTCTGAAATGTGTGTCCGAAAGTAGATTCCCTCCGAAACACACTCCGTTTTTTCATTTGTGTCGAGAGTTGTGAGAGCTTTGTGATGTCAAAAGTGACATTGCGAAAGAAAGAGCGGAATGAGGGGGCGCGCTGCGCGCCGAGCTCTAGCTAATCAGTGGAGGCCGATGTGAACAGTCCACTAAGTCAACACCACGAGAATCGCGCCCTGATAACCAACTTATCAGTGCGTAATTTATGTGAATGCCGATCTCGAAGAACACTCTATATCAGACTCGACTGAGAGTGTACTTTCTTTAACGGTTAGTTAAAACGAGTCAACCCACGACGATGTTTGGTATGAAGTTCAGTAGCAGCTACAGTCTAGTAAATCCAGCGTATGCTGGCACACAGTATGTAGTATTTCAGTTATTTTTCAAGATATGCACAACTTAATTGTTGCTCCTTCTCGGTTGACCACAAGTCTGCACGTTATGTAGCGCACACTTTTACATCTGGCTTCGCCTCAAATACAAGTTTTAGGAGGAAAAGCCCCCTTTCGCAACTACCTTCGTTTTGCGGGTTTATTTGTGCATGCAGTATGGACAGCTACCACGGCAATAATAGAAGCAATTGTTAATAGTTTAATGCAATTGACAATTGGGAATTCAGATATGTTTGCCATATTCGGCAAAATAGTTCTTTCACGCATCTTCCAGCAACTCGCGGAATCTCCTAGAAGTTATTTGTTATTTCAGCAGTGTTCCTGCATCTCAGCTCAGTGATGCAGCCAGGCGGTAGGACACCAGGCCCGCGTCAGCCCCCCCCCCCCCCCCACACACACTCTTGCTGACGATTTTTTCCCTTGAAATACGGGGCACAAAATGACACTTGAGCCCACTACCTACCCAAACCATGCCCCCCCCCCCTACCCCCGAAACGAATTTCTGCTTCCGCCACTGCTTCCACCACTGCTTCTGCTTCATGGTTAACTGTCCTTACACTGCCATGTGCTCAACACGTGGTTAACTCTATGGCAACCACAAAAGAAACAAATCAGCTTTGAGTTCAATCGTTATAGACAAGGAGGTATTTGTTAACACTGCGGATCATGCCTAATTAATATAGTTTTAAAAAATTGGCAGATCCCATGTACGGTGAGAATCGGTCATATGCGAACCCCGAATGAGGAAGCTTATAAGGCACTTTAGAAACAGCACAACGTTACGAGGCGGACGTAAATTATGCCGTTAATGTCATCCATGTCACGATTATCATGTTTGGACGTGCATTTAGCTTCGTCGTCCATTCACGTCACGTAAAACCAAATTTGGTAAATTTGAAGCTAGCGAAATGGCTGCGAGCGCACTACCAGCGTAGCATGTAGACATGACTCGCATGACATGTACGTCACGGTTTCCACGTTAGGGTCTGTCACTTATGTTCGCTATGCAGTCAGGTCATACCGTATCACTTTTGCAATATATCATGTGAAATAAACGACCGCAAGAGCAGCAAGACCATGAAATGTAAATCATGACATTCATGACATAAATGTAACATTTTCATGTTATGAATAGTAAATTGTGCTCATCATAAAGTCATGTTATGTCATACCAATTTTCGTATCAATACCATTATTGAGACGGCCAGGAGAGCTAAAAGTCGTAGACGGATAGATAGATAGATAGATAGATAGATAGATAGATAGATAGATAGATAGATAGATAGATAGATAGATAGATAGATAGATAGATACGCTCGGATTCGCCAAAGTTCACTAAGAAATAATTTGCATTTATTATCACAGAATATCCATGGAGTGAATAATGATGAGTGGGGCAAAGCGTCGTCCATGCGTCCGTCCATCCATCCATCCGTGGCTCTGTTCATCCATCCGTCCAACCGGACGTACGATAGACGGATGGACAGGGGCACAGACGCACGGACGGAAGTACGGACGAACGGACTCACGGACGGAAGCGCGGACGGACGGACGCATGGATGAACGGAAGCACGGACGAAAGCACGAACAGACGGGCGAACGGACGGACGCGCGGACGGTTGGACACACGGATGGACGAACGGACACTTCGCCCCACTCATCATGATTCAGTCCGTGGATATGCTGGGACATGGCCGGACTGTAGAAGAGGCACGCGCGCCGCACTCTCCGACGGCGTGCGCTTCGTGTCTAGTTCCCACCTTTCACCGCCGCTAGTTCACGGGACTGTGGCCCAACCCTTGCCAGACCGGCCGTGCCTCCGCTAAAGCCTCTTGACAACGTGCGAGTTTCCCCCTCGATTTAAATCCAAGCCCACGCGGCAAGCGTGGTCGGGTCACTGGGGGTGGGAGGGATGGAGTGAGAGAGGAAGAAAAAAAAGTGAGCACCGTAACTGTCTGCATCATAGTGCGGCACCTCAACAGTAGTTCACGAGGGATGGCGGTGAGGAGAGATTAAAAGGATAGGGAGTATTAAAAGGGATACAGATATAGATAGGGGCTGGGACAGGGAGACCCACACACAGAAATAAGGAGAAGATGGGAACATGGACACGGTCGCAATAGTCCGAGGACGGGGCACCACTCAGCGAGAGCTCTCGTCAGCGTCAGAAGAGAAGCGAGGCGTTGACTGAGAAAAAGGTGGAAGGAGAGGGTAGTGGGCTGGCTCAAGCGCCTGCACTAGGCGATCGCTGCAACGAGCTGTGAACAATCTACCCTATCGTTCCCTTTTTGGGTGCGCAGGCCGTGAGAAAGTGCGCGCGTGCCACTCCTCTAGTCTGGCCATGGTTGTGAAAGCCACTAACATCATCTAGTTATATTATTCCCAAGGATGGATGGATGGATGGATGGATATGGCTGTACCCTTTAGATCGGGCGGTGGCTAGCGCCACCAAGCCTTAATACCTAATGAACCAAAAACTATATTTATTTTTTTCCTTAAAAAGTGAGTTTGAGGATTCGTACTTTGCAGTGAAGAGTTTAATTTTCACTCGTGCCTTGACTTTAGCCACCAATCTGATAACCTCCTTCTAGTTAAGTCTACCCGCTTAAAGTTTATTTTGCCCTCCCGGTCCCTAAACACCAGTGCTTTGAAAAACTCTGCGCCATCATCCTGAACTATAGGGTGAAGCCCTTTACAGAACATTATCAAGTGTTCGGCAGTTTCTTCTTCCTCTGTACACGCACTGCATACTGTGTCTGCCCCTTCGTATTTGGCCCGAGATGTCTTGGTTCGCAGTACTCCCGTCCTGGCCTCAAACAGTAGAGAACTACCCCGAGTATTATCATAGATACTTTCCTTGGCAATTTCCTGCTTAAAAGTTCGATAGATCTCTAGTGCGGACTTCTTAATCATGCCCATTCTCCCATGTCAGTCTCCAAGGGCATATACACACAACGCCATCTATTGAGCAAGTCATAAACTAGAGGTGGCTACATACTACATACGGAGGAGGGAACAACCCACGGCCCAAGGAACTTCACCTCTAAAAAAAATGCGTTTCGTCACTAGGGCGAAGCAATAAATGCGATAGCAAAAAATATAATATCACACGAAGAACGACAAGCAGCTCAATACTTTCAGTACGCCGCTGCAGTACAAAGAAGGACGCGCGAAAAGAACGCATAGGTACACACAGGACAAGTGTGCACTGACAACTGTCACAGTTCTACGTGTTTGTATTGTAGGAACGCGCTGCAAAACGCTATAACGCAGAAGTCGAAGCAGTTGGATTTTTCTTTTAGATGCGGAGCATCTAATACTCGAGGCTTGTAGTGCGGCGCCGTCCGCAAGCTTCCTCCTCCTTCTTCCACCATCTGTGCATCCCTTCCTCCTCTACACACCGCGCGCGCTTCACTCCTCCACCATCTGTGCACCCTTCCTCCTCTACACACCGCGTGCGCTTCTCCTCTTCAGGAACATTCGCTAGCTGTATAATGTAGCGCGCATGCGCCGTCACGCTTCGAGAACATCGGCAGCTGACGCGCGCGCATGCGCCGTCGCGCTTCGAGAACATCGGCAGCTGACGCGCGCGCATGCGCCGTTGCGCTTCTCCCCCTTCTCGAACATTCGACAGCTGACAGTGCATGCGCCGTCGCGCTGTATATATACTCAAGGTCGGCGCTCGCTCGCTCAGTTGCCGCTCGTCGGTTGGTTTGTACGGCGCGTCGACGTCCAAGGTCGCGGTGAAATGAATTCCAACGAATCCACAAACACAATGATCGACGTCCCTTCGACCAGCGCCGCCCTTTCGCATACGTGTGTACGTGTTCACTCATTTAACACCCCCTCCTACAACCACGTTAACCAATTTAGCCATCGACCCAAGTAAGTCGCAATTTAACACCCCATTTCACAACCACGTTAACCAATTTAGCCATCGACCCAAGTAAGTCGCACTTTAACACCCCGTTAACCAATTATATGCTCCGCATCCTCCTCAGTGTTCCCCCGAGGGAAGCTGCGGGCAATTTTTTTTAAATGGGAAGCATTTCTTAGCGAACTTCGGCGACTTTGAGCGTATCTATCTATCTATCTATCTATCTATCTATCTATCTATCTATCTATCTATCTATCTATCTATCTATCTATCTATCTATCTATCTATCTATCTATCTATCTATCTATCTATCTATCTATCTATCTATCTATCTATCTATCTAGCCGCCTACGACCTTTAGCTCTCCTGACCGTTTAGACATTGATATTGATACCATACTTGGTATGGCATAACATGACTGTATAAAGAACATATTTGGCTAGTGATTACATGAAAATCATGACATGAATGTAATGATTTACATTTCATGGTCCTGCAGCTCTTGCGGTGGTTTCGTTTACAAGGCATGTTGCAAAACTGGTATGGTATGCCATGATTGCGTGACGAACACAAGCGACAGACCCTAACATGAAAATCGTGACATGCGTGTCATGTAACAGCATGACTACATGCCACGCTCATGATGCGCTCGCGGCCGTTTTGCTGGTGCCACATATACCAAATTTGGTATTACGGTACGTGAATGGATGACGAAGGTATGCTAGTGGTGCAAACATGATAAACATGAGATGCGTGTCATCTAACAACTTGACTACATGACACTCATGATGCGCTCGCGGCCATTTCGCTAGCTTCACATATACCAAATTCAGTACTACGCGACGCGAACGGACGACATAGGTGAACGACACGTCGAAACATGATAATCACGACATGCGTGTCATGTAACAACATAACTACATGCCACACTGATGATACGCTCGCGGCCGTTTCGCTAGCTTCACATGTGCCAAATTTGGTATTACATGACACCAATGGACGGCGAAGGTATGAGACTGGTGCAAACATGATAATCATGAGATGCATGTCATGTGAGAACATGACTTCATGCCACAGTCAAGGCGCCAATATATTGCGACGTGACGCCGTGCGCGTGCTCGCCGGCGTTCATTTCGTCGCATCACACCGGCGTTGCCACGCCAGGCGCCGGTCCTGCCATATACTCGCAGGTGCGCGCGGCACTGCGTTGCTTTGACGCATGCGCATTTCAGCGCGTCCGGCGTCCCTCCGTCACGAAAAGAGGGAGACGCAGTGTTGTCTGGGTAACGCATCGGCGCGAAATGCAGCTTGTCGCATTTCGCGCCGGTTGCTGTCGGGCCGCGTCGACGGACGCTGGTCGCGCCTGGCGTCAGACTACCTGGCATCAGACTATAGAGTGCTCGCGTTTTGCTAACGTAGCGTCGCTGTCTCCATCGTGCGCGCTCGTCAACGCTACATTGGAGTATATTGGCCCCTTCATGATGCACTCTCGGCCGTTTTGCTAGCTCCACATGCACCAACTTTGGTGTTAGGTGACGTCAATGGATGAAGAAAGTATACGACTGCTGCAATCATGATAATCCTGACACGTGTGTAATGTAACAACATGCCAACATACCACGCTCAGAGCGTGCTTGTGGCCGTTTCGCTAGCTCCACATATACTAAATTTGGTATAACGTGACGTGAATAGATGACAAAGGTAAACGACACACGCAAACGTAATAATCATGACACGTAAGTCATATACGGCATCATTTACCTCCACCTCGTAACATCGTGCTGATTTTAAAGTGACATATCAACCTTTCCCATTCGTGCTTCGCATATCATCGATTCCCACTGTACGTGGGATCTGCCAATTTTTTTTTCTTTTTAAACGGCAGCACAAGGAATGACCCCTTTGTTCCCTTGTTCCTTCGTGGTTAAAGTATAATAATAATTAATTGATAGAGTTCAACATTCCAAAACCCCCATATGATTATGAGAGACGCCGTAGTGGAGGGCTCCGGAAGTTTCGACCAGCTGGGGTTCTAAATCTAAGCACCTAAATCTAAGCACACGGGTCTCTTTCGCCGCCATCGAAAATGCAGCCGCCACAGCCGGGATTCGATCCCGCGACATGCGGGACGGTACTCGAGTGCCTTAGCCAGTAGACATCGTGGTGGGTGTGGTTAAAGTATAAGATAGTAGCAATCCTCCATCATACATACAGAGATTACCAATTGGTAACATCGCTAATAAGAGGAACAATAAATTACTATGGCAACGTGGGCAAAGGTCAGTTTTTGCAGTCGATACGTTTTACCGGTGTCCGCACTAACAAACTAAAATTTAACTTGCATGTCGCACGTAATCGTTGTATTTTCAGCGGTGCACTTGCTGGTATTTTCCTCAACCTAAAGTGACAGCAGCCGTATTGTTAAACTGCTCTAGTAATAGGAGGCCGGTTACCAATAAAGTGAGACATCTTACTGAATAGCCAACTCAAACAGAACTATAGAACACAAGTGGGACGCCATTTCAATAATTCCGAAGCTTCTCGCCATGTCGTCATTGATTTCAACAGCGTTCCCACCGGTCTAGTTTATTCCCCTTTTTTTTAAATAATGAAAGCCTGCATAATAAAACCTTGTGAAGGAAACCAAACTTATTGAGGGTTCATTGATTTTTCCGTTCCGCAGCATTTCAAGGGCCCTATATAACTGCATCTGTGACGTAATAAGCAACAATATTTAGGCGCATAATCAAAGACACGTGGTCGTCATTTTTTTTCGGTAATAAACGACCTTTTTGGAAGAGTAACATAATACGCCAATGGTCTTTTTTGAAGCCACAATAAAAGAAAAAATTCACTCGCGTTCCTTCAAGCTCTGTCTTCGCCCTGTTGTAAGCGCCATATAAGGGAAAGAAACTACGTATAGACTAGGCGCGATGATGAAAGCTCTTACACGGGTGGGCCTTCCTCCCTCTGGTAGCGTCGCACGTTGAAGCCGTTGTCGTACATAGCCACCGTGCTGAACGAGATGTTCAGCTCGTACTTGTCTCCTGCCAGAAGGTCCTCGGCCAGGTTGATGTACAGGAACTGGGAAAAGTCGTTAGTGCGTATGCTCAGGATGTCGGGTCCGGGCGCACCCGAAGCAAAGCGCAGGGTCAGGTTTCCGCGATTGATGACCAGATTAGCCGCGTGCAGCTGTATCAACTTGGTGGGCTCCAGGGCTTCCAGCATGATGCGCACGCTGCCCTTGAAGGACATGCTCTGGTCCTGGTACTCTGGCAACAGTACGAGCTTGTAAGAGACTGGCCTAACGCTCTTCGGCAGGCGTATGTTCTCGTCGTTATGGTCGCCAGCGTCACTGGCCAATGTGGGCGTGACAAAACGAAAGATTGACTCGTTGCTCGGAGCCTCGCTTTGCCTATGGACAGCCACTTTCTTGGCGATAGCATCAACATTCCCGGCTTTTGTCGTGGGGCTTTTAGACGCCTGAGTACCGTCCTTGTCCACCACAGCGGGCGTTAACACTTCAGGTGCGTCCTGGACAGCCGCTGGCTCCGGTTCATTGGCAGCACCATTTTTCTCCGGCTCATCTTCGCGACCTTTCTCCTCGGCGATGTTTGGAGGCTTGCGGGTAGGCGACGTCGTCCGCCTTCGCTTCCTGGCCGCGGAGGCGGCTGGTGCGGCCTTGCGCACCTTGACCACGTGGTGGTCAGTGGGATTACGGGCCGGGGACTTTTTGTTGACCGCGGGTGCGTGGTAGGCCGCACGTTGCTCGTCAGCCACTTCGTTCTGCGCGACGGTGTTGTGCGCGGGCGCGGCGTTATGACGACGAGGCGACGACCGCTTCGCAGAACGGGCTGCGCTTGCGGGCAACACCACGGCAACGACGCTTATCAGAAAGCACGCGCCGATCACGTATTTCCATTTTCGCTGACCCACGGCGTTCTTGATATTCTGCAATGCGCTTGTGGCAGTGCCGCCTGCTCTTCGGACCTTGGGCCGGCTGCCCACGACGTGCTGTACGCTCGACTCGTACATGCTACTGCGTGGTCCGCACGCGCCCTACAAGATTCGGCTGCAACGTTGATCAGCAGAAAGGAGGCTACGCGATGCCTTCGAGTCGTGCTCACCAATCAGTTGCGGGGTGGTGCCCGGCACTCGTCGGCGCCGGGTCATTCAATGTAGCAGCCTTCCAGTGCGGTTTTTCGTGGAAACCATTTGCCAGCACAAGCGCCCCACGAAGGCAGCAGAGCGCGCGGCGATCTTCACTTCTTTCATTCTCTTCGGTTAGCCACATATTCCCCATGTGGCCAATCCCCCATGTGGGTATGAGCCAAGATCTCCTAGGAGACAAGACATATTCCCCAGCGTGTGTGTGCCACAGATACAAAGATCTTACTACTCTACGGGTGAAATTGGGTACCGCGGGTCAAAATTAAGTAAGGGAACGTATCCTGATGAGGCGCTTCACAGTGTCGAGTGTCCCACATTCGTATACATCCTCCAGTTGACATCCTTGCTGTCACTCACATTTCTGTAGGTGCGTGTTAAGAATTCCCTATTTTATCCTTCATTAGCGTTCCACAAGAAGCTATATTTATTGGCCGGGAAGAGGTGGACTAGCAACATAAAAGTCTCGGGGGTACCGCTGCTTCACTTTAGTGAGTTATTATATATCTAAGTGGCACAGCAGACCCAGGGAGGGGGCAGCGCAGCGCAAGATGACAAAAAAATATTTCGGTAGATTCCACTTCCCTTGGGAATCTATGTAATGCAAAGCATGCTTATGCAAGGTGACTGTGTTGTGATATCTTTATTGAACAAAACTTAATGAAGTGGCGCTAAGGATATGTACAAATTCACGCACAGGACATACGTAAAACAACCACATACCCTTTATATAATCAGTTGTTTGCACTTGCGCAAAGATGCCAGCAGCAAAATGGCTATTAGCACCACCAGAAGCGATTGATTGATATGTGGGGTTTAACGTCTCAAAACCACCATATGATTATGACACGCCGTAGTGGAGGGCTCCGGAACTTTAGACCACCTGGGTTTCTCTAACGTGCACACAAATCTGGGCACACTGGCCTACAGCATTTTCGCGTCCATCAAAAATGCAGCTGCCGCAGCCGGGATTTGATATGTGGTGTTGAACGTCCCGAAACCCATATGATTATGAGAGACACCGTAGTGGAGGGCTCCGGAAATTTTGACCACCTGGGGTTCTTCAAAGCCGGGACTTGATCCCACGACCTGCGAGTCAGCAGCCGAGTACCTTAGCCCCTAGACCACTGCGGCGGGCGCCACCAGAAGCGGTAAGCTGCTATGAAGCGCTGGTGTTCGCTGGGATGGTAGCCCTGGTCAGTGCTACATAAATAAACGTCGTCGGATGTTGCTTAAATGGTCTGTAAGCCACCCCGAGGTCGAAATTCAGTTGTTGTGGGGAAATTGCTCACGAGTGTACGACGCACACAGAGACGTGAGAGCTTTTCAAAACCATGCTGTAATAGCAGAGTTAAACGCGTTTGATTACCGAAACCGCGACGAAGCCTCGTTTCGCTCTCTCCTGCACTTCCCTCTATGGTATCCTCTTCCAAAACTGTTTTGCCCTCTCGCCATGAATCATGTCCTCCTCCTATGAAGCGAGTTTTTTCTCATTCGTGCTTTGCATATCAACGATTCCCACTGTACGTGGGATCTGCCAATTTTTTTTTCCTCCTTCATGTACCCCCCCCCCCTTTATCTTTTTAGCTTACTTCCTTCACCCTCACTGTCCCTTCAGTCCCCGTTCCCCCGTGAGTGTATTGCTTGAGGGTCTTCACAGGAGAGACAGTTATCGTGCATTTCACACCACATTTTCTTACCTTTCCGCCTTTTAATTACTATAGCAATTATAAAGGACAATCTCGGCTAGATTTTGTCGCCGGCGTCACCATCATTCACCGTATATGTATACGTATCTATACACATAAAAACGCAAAAAAGTAATCATGAAAAACAACCCTACGCGCGGAATCGAACGTCGTGCCTCTGCATTGCGAGTGCGAGGCGTTAGTGACTGAGCCACGAAGTAGCACCTCCTTCGAAGTTCAAACGGCAAGCTATCTACACCTATCACTTAAAGCTGGTGATGGGTATCTCGGGGGGGGGGGGGGATGCTATCGTCTTTTCAGCATTACCAGTGAGATGGCGCAACGAGCGCGCGTCGCCACATCGTCACGACGCGGCGGCGCGCACTCTCATCTGACACACGTACTTTGTCCCACGGAGAGGGGATCAGGGTGGACGCTCACGAGTGCGCTTACTTATCTCGCGGTGAGGACAATCGTACACCTTGGGCTTTCACCGGAACGATTCCGTTGTAGTTACCGGGTGCACAAAGATCACTGCAATCGTTTCAAAGTCTCTGTTTGCGAAAAGGGCGCGCTTTTCAGACACAGCGAAGTAACAATGGAGACGTTTATTCGCGTTCATCTGCCCCAAGAGCACATTTCATACGTCACTTGTGCGTGAGAAGCGCGGGAGACGTTTTGATCTGCTTGCTATTCTGCGCATGACCTTCCAATTTATTGTTATCACGTTCATTGCTTCAACTTTGCGGCAAAGCTGTGACTTTTTCTAAAACATCACCCCCCCCCCCTCTCTCATGCTCCTCCCGATCTCGCATGGCATACGTCATCACTGAGGCGCTGCTTGAAACACCGTCCATTTTCAGTTTTCGTGAACTCCGTCGGTCGACTTCGCAAGTCGCGTAGTAGGTGCGCGCTTGTTGGCGAACCACGGCTGCCGTGCCTATACAGATCATGTCGGTATGGACCCTGCGTTGCGCGCACGCCTTCGAAATATCGCCAACACGATGGACCCGCACACGGACATGCCGTGCCAGACAACCTCCGCAGTTGATTCGTGAGCGGGCGCACGCACGCGGGCAACACGACCAGGTCACTCTAAGACGAACACACGCAGTGTGGACAGCTGCTTGCACACTGACCGAAAGTCATATATGCTCTTGCTCGACCAATCACACGATATTTGGATCGGCACGTCAGGTATTGGGACGGCGCGTCACGCGGATGCACGAAAGGCAGGGAAATAAGAAGGGATTATTTCTTTGAATTTTTGGCGCGCCAGCGGCTCGTAGCGCTGCCACGCGTAGATTCATTGATCGCTGACGGCATTCCGCACACGACGCACGTGTTTACTTGAAACGTTTGAAAAATATTGGAGGTGGTTTAATGGCCCTTTAACTACAATCGACGTGACGGCTGCACCATGGTAGTACATGTGTAATGCTTACAAAGTTGTATAGCCAGCACTGCATCCAATATTGACATTTCACGAACCTCAGGGTCTATTTGAATAGTATTTCGAGACCTGGCGTGGCTCTGTGGTATAATACTTGATTGCCACGCAGAATGTTGGGGTTCGATTCCCGCTGCGAACTTGACGTTTATTATTTGCATTCGTCTGGACAACGCAGCCGTACACACGAGCCAACAAGCTTTTTCTAAACGCTCATGCGTTAAAATGACCCCCGTCTGTTCTTGCCGTTCCTTAGTACATATAAACTGTCAATCTGTGGCACATAACCGCCCACGGGTATGTGCCACACATTTGGCGGGAAGCGTTTGACGACGTACGCGACGGGATTGTGACATTATCCATGTGATGACCAGCAACTCATATTCGTCAAACCATCTTACCCAACCCATACTAATTTTGGCTTACCCCAAGTTAAGGGGGTGATCACGAGACCACCCAAACATAGGCGGCTAGAGACATAGATATACGCTCAAAGTGTTTGCAGTACGCGAAGACAAGCTTCGCATTTAGTAATAGCTGAGCGATTCCCAACTTCTTTCAGCAGAGTAGGGACATAACAGCAGAGTAGAGTTACTAGCTGCGCCAGCGTTCCGCACATGCGCAGTTGGAGTTCCTGCTCGTTGGCCGAACCCGCTGAGCCACTTAGCTATAATTCTCTTTTTGTTGGCGCCAGCCTAATCTTATAACCATTGCTATAAAACGTAATGGGCACAATCGGGTGGACGAATATTAAAGCTGGCTGTCTCGTCATACCCACGTCATATGATACTGTTATGGCTCCTTCACATAAATGGCAGTCCAAAGAGATTTGACGGGAACATTCCGTGGCATCCACACGGTGCGCCTATACATCTACCAGCAGCACAGACTTACAAAGATGGAAGCAGCAAACGAACAGCGCGTGCCTTCGCGAAGTGAAAGCCCCCGCCGATGAAGTCGTTCTTTCGGAGCGGGCAGGGTTTCTAAGCCAGCCCTTTCCCTACTTTTGCATCATCCCCTTGATCGACTTGTAGCACTAATCTGGACTCCCGCGCATGCGGGCCTTGCCGGAAACGAGGCGGCTCATGCGAGTGCCCGAGGATTCACAGTCCGGGCACACGCATCCGATGTGTCGCAATTCGCTACGAATGAGGCGCCATTTACAGCGCGGGATCGCCTTATTTCATTCCACGATATTTGCACACACTACCGTTTAGAGCGATTAACCTTCCCGCCACTCACGCGCAAATCTTCACGCAGGTGCGAAATTCTGTGGCGACAGCTGCAGACTCGCACCTTTCTTTCGCCTTACCTCCTACACCGCATTCATCCATCCTGTTATCCTTCCCCCTCATGTAAATTTTGTGCCTCTTCCACAGCAGACTTGAACCACATCATGTGGCGCTGCCCTAAGCACCCTCTTCCCCCATTCCTGAAACGCCTAATTTCTAGTGAGGAGCAGTGGGAGGCTGCCTTGTCGTAAGCTGCCCTGCTGTACTGCACGGTGTTGCCTAATTGCTATTACTATTTATTGCATTTAATGCTGGATAATCGCCTTTTTTTCTTGCTAATATTTTTCTCTACCCTCTCAGCTCACTCATTTTGGGATTCTTTCATGTGTACACAGTTCTTAACACAGATCAAATGTTTTGTTCAGACTATATTTGCAAGATTGAGCCTGACATTCTAGAATTAGCAGCCTATTCTCACAATGAGTGTCAAGATTTTTATGATTCTGGAACAATGAAATGACTGGCAATAAACATGCACAGAGCATGCCTGTTCATAATGACAAGCAGATTAGGAAATGTTGCAAGTTAGTGACACGACTGTGGTCCACCATATAGTGTGTTACACTATCAATCAAACAACAAAGAACCCTCTGGGAATAATAGCTGCTTCGTATTTGATTGGCTACTTGATATAAATTTTGCAGAAAATGTAATTTGATGCTGGCACTTTAATAAAGTTCTTCTCAGTTCCTCTCAAAAATGCCTAAAAGACGAAAGCCTTAGAGCTGATGCATAATTAACTGAAACGTAAGATATTGCGACTTTGTTCACCCAAAAACATACAATATCTAAGCACTTAATTCCTTGTAGTTCATTCAAGGATGCTTATTTTAAAGAAGATCATGTCACTTTGGAATGTAAAATAAAAAAAAGCACAAGAAAACTTGCCGCAAGTTGCTTAAAACGTCTCGCTGTGGTCAGTGATTGGCCTTACATGGTAAAATGAGTACACGCTAACAAAAGAAAACTGATGGTCGCGACACTCTGTGGTCAGAAATTTATATCCATTTTTTTTGCACGAGTTTATTCAATGAATCGCAGGTTACTGAGCTGCTGGTAGCAGAAATGATCGACTGATACACTAGCATAGAGTCTTCATGACAGCATTTTTCAAAACCTGAAGCAATGCTTGAAGCCATTAACAAATCATTGGTCCTGCAAAAAAGGTCAGGAAACAGTCCAGGAGAGAGTCAAGCTGCTAGCGTGAAAAAATAACCAGCCCGATGAGCTCAGAGGTTATGGTCGAGAGGTCTAAAAATATTTCACAGAGTGCCTGAACCCAAGAAAGGATCATTTGTTGAAATTCTGAAAAGAGCATGGAGACGCATTTTGTGCAGGTATCATCGAAACTGGTGTTCAGTGAGCACATATTTGGAACCACAGAAAACTGTAACATCATCGCGAAAGAACCTGAAGCAAGGTCATGTGCAACAACCCGCGTTCTTGCATGACATGTAGGGTTTCGGTAATAGTCATGCAACGCATCATGTATTCGAGAAATAGATAAATTTCATTTCATTTCTTTGTTTTTCTACGAGTATTCTATAAAATCTAGCTCAATATTCAACATTCTTTGCCATTACAACACTACACTCAAAGCTCACTATAACGAAGGTGCATCTTACATGAAAATAAGTTTGTTATATCCAAAAATTTGTTAGAGGTATAGTATCTTCATCCTTCATGTATTGCAAAACTATTTTTCACTTACTTTGTTATAAAAAATATTTCGTTATATCTAGCTCTCAGTGCATTCAATTTGAATTTGATTCGAGGTAAAATTTTACTATTTGCACACCCCTAGTTTTAGCACATTGCTAAAACTAGCGGTTGAGACGCACCCATGCTCTCTTTGCACATGCTCTACCTTCTCCATATCGTAAGTCATGCCAGTCTCGTGACGTACTTCATTTTCAGAGTTCACTATTTGATACGGCTTAGTTCATTAGAGGTCACATTTGCATGTTTGCCAACGAAATCTTCAAGTCGACTAAACTGACACACATGATAGAAACTTGAGAATCGAGCCTGAAAAATTTGAGATCCATAACCGCACTCTTGAAGCAACTACATTTCACTCTAGTTGTACCCATCAGTGTTCTATGACGCTCGAGAAAAACGAATATGCATGGATGAAACAAGGGCTTAAAACCAAAGTGGTTGGTAAAATGTGCTTGCATGCTATGATTTATTTGAGGGATTAAAAAAACTAAGAGGCGTTCCGTGTGAGCTCTTTCAAAATGAGCTCCAAAGTTTCCAGTCCGAAAGATCGGTGAGTCTTTGGCACCTTTTCATCGAGCACAACTTCTCGTAGTTTTGTCAAAAAGTTGCCTTCAAGTTCGGGACGACTGTGTTTCATAAAAAAACCAACTTTGCTCTGCACCTGTGTAGGAGAAAGAGACAAAGGTGGCAGGCTTTGCAACAAAAGATAAAAAAATGCACATAGAGTGTTATTTCTAGAGGCAGTGACTAACAGACGCACCAATTTTTAAAAGGAAACACTGTGATCAAGGGCCTGTAAGTGTTCGCACTAATCTTGATGACATCAAAGCAAATATCACTTTCCAGCATTGAATGAGACAACCATTAAGCCAGGCAGACTAATCAGTGGCTTGGAAGCCAGCACAGTCTATGAATACAGTGCGGAAAGCCTGTGGTAGCCTTAACACTTTCAATTGTGTTGGGTGGTATTTTAAATGAAGAAACAGTGCTAAAACCAGATTAAGGCAAGAGGATACAAAAATTGTGCAGTATAACAACCATATTTCAATGCTGTGTCAGTCTAGCTTTGCTCTCGTTCTGCGAATATGAAATATGACATATCTATTAAAACGGTGACTTAGCATTGTATACGGCAAAGTGCTGTTCTCCGATATGTATAGTCTGTTTTGCTGAATATATTAACGTGCACAAGCAATAGAATATGGTTGCTAGTCAACGCAGTGTTTCAGTTCTCAAGTCTTCCTCTTGTTCTGGTGATTTTGTGATGAAATCTGTAGCATTTACTATTGATGGGAGCCACATGATCGAAACAAATGAATGGTTGTCAGCAATTATGTAACCTGCAGCAAGTGCTGGTATGCACACCTTTACAATTATTGAACAGTATTGTGCGAGTGCTGATTATGGGATATGGTGGTGTTTAACACGCTTGAAAAGTAATGAGATCTGTCGGTGATGCGCAAGCGCACAAAACACACTGAACTGCGAGCGCCACCCACTACGCTGTTTATTCCGACATATCTTTCAGCTTTGGGCACCTCTGACCCCTTAAGGCTACTCTCGACCATTTCTTTGAAGTGCCTCCATTGTACAGTGCTTGCATCTCAGCGCTTTGCCCGCTTGTGCATCGTGGCAGATCTCGATGCCTTTTGAAAATATTAGAAGCTAATATATATCCTCCCTCAGTTTTTGAACCATAATGTTGCAAAAGGCAAGGGTGCACATCATATACTCTGGTATGACTAGGTTATAAGGTGAATAAATGGTACAACTGTAGCCTGCGTCTAAAAGTAGCTCTTACTACCTCCTGCAATTACCACACAATGTACCGTATTTACACGATTGTAAGACGACTCGAATGTAAGACGACCCCCCCGAAATCGCATCTTAAAAAAAAAAAAAAAAAAAAAAAAAAAAAAAACCCACCTACGCGACCTACGCGACCAACAAGGATCGATCGCATAGGTCAGTCACGTAGGCCGCAAGCTTCGCCTCTAGTTCCGGAAAGCGGCCAGACTTCGGCCCGCGAAAGCCACGGCGCTTAGAGTCGCACGAGAAAATTTCCTCGCGCTGAAGCCGTCACTTCCGCACCACACATTCACCGATTCCGAACTTTCGTCCTCATGTCACGGCACTCATGTCAGACAGAAGTGACTCGAGAGAGCCGGTCGTGGACACAAGCGACAGGAGCACGCGGCGACGCGCCCGCTTAGAAAATTGTATCACAAAGAGGAGCTCTTCCGTCAACTACCAATACCCCCTTATGGCGGCTCTTCCATCGATTACCGGTGCTCCCTCAAGAGCCGTGCGCTCGTCATAAAGGCACTCGTAATGCGCGCAGTAGATGCTAAAAAAAGAAAAGCTTTTGTATAAGCACGCGGAAAACTATGCGCTTTGGGTTGAGCGGGAAACTATTCGAGATGACAATACATGGTTCGATTTCGATTCTAAGGTACATGGTTCGATTTCGATTCTAAGACGACCCCCCAACATTGGATTGTCAAATTAGAAAAAAAGGGCCGTCTTACAATCGTGTAAATACGGTACTTTGCAAAATAACAGAAACAAGCATAAAAAATACAGTGTGCCTAGAGCTTACGTAAGGACAGCAATGTTCTACATCAAGCTGTGGCTTTATGACAACGTGCCCTATTCTGAGGTGATTGCCTTTGAAGATAGTCATAATGTGGCTCTTATGGTGGACCATGTAGGAATTTATTTCCTGTCATGCAGAACATAGATATGCTCAGCTGCACTGTTTCGTTGTCAACTAAGGTATGCTGGCGGGATAATTGAAGTTTATTGAGACACGTGATGACACTGTAGCGCAAATAAACACAAGCGTGTGTCGAGTTCGCTGCCCCCCGATGTAGCAGTACTGTACCATCAGTATGACGACTAAATATCAGCATACAGGGACAGTGACTGTTTACTTGTATAGCAGCAGTTCAAGCACACATAACCATAAATATTAAAAACGCTTACCAATCGAAAGCACTGGTTAAGAAAATATGGCTTCCGACTTTGCAGCATGAACTCGAGATACCTCCACACAGGTGCCTTGAGCGAGTTCACAGGTGCTCCATGCAAAAGGTATTGAGTGTAATACTCGCAGAGAAATACGGTGTTACTGAGAAATGCCTGTGGTGATGATTCAGCTTTCTCTTCAAATCCTGCAAAGTCAAAAAGCAGGAATGAAAGCTCACTGCCAAATCTATTCTCAGCTGCATACCACACAATTAAAATCAGTATAACTTCAATAACAGAAATATTCATATTACATTATAAACAAAATGTAGCAGGTTTTGCTTAGCAAGACACCACTGGTAATAGAAACGAGTTGTACAACTACATGAAAATAAGGTGTGTATATTTATTGCCTATATAAATTAAAGTTAGCACTTGCTTCCCAATTAAACAAAGAAGCATGATATAACACATGCACAGGCCAGCATGAGCAAATGCTTTGTACTGCCGCCTTTCACTTTTAACTGCCAATACAAGGCATGCTCGAAGGTGGCAGATATAATAATACCTGGGGTGTAATGCTTCGAAACCACGGTATGATTATGAGGCACGCGTAGAGAAAAGCTCCAGGAATTTCTACCATCTGTTGTTCTTTAATGTGCACGGACATGGGCCTATAGCATTTCGGCTTCATCGAAATGTGACCGCCATGGCTGGCATTGAATCTGTGACTATTGAGTCGGCAGCCAAGCACTCTGATCGCTACACCACTGTGACAAACAAGGAGGCACATATGAAGCCGCAAGCTTTGTTGGGCATCCAGCTTTCGCACATACCACCGTTTACCCTCAGAGAATCCTGATATCATTAGCTTTACTGCAATGGCAGTTATATCGACCCTCTCGGCGGATGTTCGGATGTCGCCATTATGTGCAATATGCATAGTAGTACATCCACAAACTCGTTCGAACGTTCCTGCACATACTATTTTCCGGCTCCTATGCTCGAAATTGCGAAAACCAGAAAAGCCTCCATAGAGCTATGTGGTAATATGTTCTGCTTAATAAGTTCCCGGAAAATATGATTATTCGGCAGCAATGTTCGGCATTGTGGTAAACTGAGGTTATATGGTACGTTCCACGGAAAAAAAATTTTCATTCATGTGTGCATAAAAGAAACCGGTCTCGTGTGCTTGTGAAGCGCCAAGTAGCCGACTGTCGCGACGTGGTGACGGCAGTTTCTTTGCTGTGCTCTATTCGATACTCTCCTCCCTCCTCCCCCCCCCCCCCCCACACACACACCTGAGCCATTAAAGTCTTCAAACGATCTTCAAAAAATGCCTGTTATTTTCTGCAGCACGGTCAGTTTCTTTCTCAGCTGGACGCCTTGGAAAAAATTTAGGAATATGCAGGCCAGGCCATGCGAGGCTGCATGTTAAATCCATACTGTTTTTAGTCTTCATCTCAAAATTATTCTTCTTGTCCTTCTCTCGTATTGTTCGTCACTTTTCGTGCAGCTTTCATAAAATCTTGCCAGAGGTCCACAAGTGCCGACACGGAGATCCTATTTTGAAGTCTTAATCTGTGCTTAGTCTGTATGGCAGTTTATCTTTTGACACGTGAATAGGAAGGCAGCAAGTGCGAATCCAGCTGACGTCGATAACTGATTATCGCTGCTCCCCCACCATAATTAATTCCCATGATCCACGTGACATTTGTAATGCGGATAAACTAGGCTTTTCTTTCTATTTCGTGCTACACCTAGCAAATAGATGAGCATGAAGGGCGAGTCCTGCCATGGTCTGAAGGCCAGCGAAGACCAAGTAACTGTGTTGTTTTATTGCAACGAAAGACGGAAGTGACGTGACGAACTCGTGGATGATTGGAAAATCTTAAAACTCGACATGCTTGCGGAGTACAGTAGACTCTCAGTAAACGGAAATCTGGTAAACGGAACTGTTGGTTAAATGGAACAAGCACTTCTGGCAGCATTGGTTTCGTACTTGTATTCTGCACATTTGTTTATCCTTCAGTAAAAGAAACTCCTGCTAAATGGAACACATCTTCATGGTCCCTTAAGATTTCATTTAATGAGAAGTTTACTGTATCTCTCATCTACCTAGTATCTACAAGAATAACACGAATGCACTGGATGAACATTTGAATGCGTGCCAAGAAGGTGGGATAAACTTTTTAATGCTTCCTGCGTTACCTCGACGGACGCCTGGAATGCAGGAGGAACAGTGCCATGTTCTTTTGGGACAAATGCACTGCCCATATGAAGGACACGTAGTTCCTTCGCAACCTTTGTGTTCTGTTTCTAGCTACCAACCCGACTAGCCACTTGCAACACCTCGAAGCTGGTATCATCAGGGATGTGAAACATTTCTACCACAAATGTATTCTGTGACGCTTCCTTGATTGCGTGTCACGTGGTGATGATCCTGGGAAGTTATTGCTTCTCGATGCGATGCACTACTTGAGCAACAGAAAAAGAAATATAACTATCAGGTTATGCATAGTCTACACTTGTAGCATGCTGCTTAAGCACAAAAACCTAACGACTGTGACAGTTGTAAGTTCAACCATGTCTTGTGTATACCAGTGTATACTTTTCAAGCGTCCTTCATTGTGGTCTAGCAGCACACAGCAAGTGTCGAGCTGCTGGTCATTTTTCGTGTGACATTCCAATTTCTTGCTATCACATTAATTATTCCTCCCTTGAGATGAAATTGATTTTGTCATTCGAAGTGCAAAACGTGACCTCTCGTATGTGACCGACACTTATTTTGTGTTTTATTCAAGTTACAGTAAGCTTGGCCCTCCAGTGGGCATAGTCAGGCTGATGATGTAGTTCCGTCATAATGTAAACTTTTTTGTGAAGAAACGTCATACCGTTAACATTCTACAATACTTAAATTTGCCTAGAATAATAAGCCCTGAAATGCAGATCAATAATTTACTTTCTTGAGTAGTAGGTCATTTAGACATAGTATTTGTAGCACACCCTCTTAAAAAAGAAGTTGCTATGGCAGAACAATATTTTTAACACACTATCCAACAGACCATTGCTTGGAGGGCCTTTGCAAGGCAGTAGTTCATTGCTTGGAGGGCCTTTGCAAGGCAGCGTATCTGACCTAATGCACCATTTTAATTGATTTATACCTCCCTGTCACTATCAGTTATATATGCTCTATGCCCTTTTAGTAAATAGGACTTTAGACCCTTATACAGCCACATTACATTACTGTTGATCTTTCTTTAACTACTGCCATGACGCTCTTTGACCATCGTAGGCCCTTGTGCCGCTAACCATCATGTATTACCACCTTGTTTTCTTGAGTTCCCCCCTCCCCCTTTAAAATATCTATTTTTTTCTGTAACCGAAAGCTTACAGAAGAGTTCTTAGCTGAGCCAATCGGTTCCTGTTGCTAGAAAATACCAGCAACAAAAGACGAGACACGAGAAAAAGGCCAACATCCATGATACAGAAACACAATATAACACCTAAAGTAACATGCCACAACATATGAGTAACAGGACAATGTCGTGAGTCACGAAGACGTCATGACAACATGATGTCACAGCTTAAATACTTTGCATAATACAAATACATGCACTCGAGGTAACAACAGTCAAAGGTCATCAGATATCACCTTCGAATTCTTGCTGCAACCTCGTCAAAAGCTTGGTCCTCAACTTGCAACCGTCAATCTCCACATTGGAAAGCCGCGTCATAGCCTGGCACGTCCCTAGGGCCTGATCAGGCCCTAGTAAGCAAATTTCATACATTGAGTTCACGACGTCATCAATGTCCTTAGAGGTCTTCAGTTTCTCGTTAACTGCAGAAAGTGCCTTGTCAAAATTTGAGTCTGAAGCTTGCAAGTACTTGAATTGAGAACACAGTCCTCTGATCTCTTTTTCGACCTGGAAAAGAATGCATTGCAACTATTAGTACCCTCGTCTCTGATAAGTCATGTATTCACAGGGCTTAAGATTAAAAAAATAAAAATGAGGCTATGAGGAAGTCAAATGCAACTTGCACTCAAGCTAGTTGGTAAGTAGTCATAATAAAATAACTAGGCACAACTCAGCACTCAAAACATCCTGACAGTAGTATTCAGTAAACCAGCGAGCACTGTTTGTTGGGTGTGGTGTTGAGCATATGAGCGTGTGAATGTGCGAGTGTTGTTACACACCCACACTGTAGCCTTACCAGTGTTGTATTCCTTCCTGTTGATGCAGAAATAATGTTAATATTGTTATTACTGCACCTAGCTACTTCATTGTGCAAGCTGAATTAGTACAAGTAGATTTTGTCAGCATACGCTTTCTATATATATGTAGATATGTATGTATCAGCTCAATTGAATCAGCAATCAGTCATTCAAGAGTTGTACCTTTAAGCTGTTTCACATGCCGTGATTGCGCCAAAAAAGATCATTCCATTCACTCTATTTGCTCTGTTCACAACCACCGCTAAAGGTGGTTTCATTTCACGCAGATTGAAAATACTCTGTTTTTCACTCTGACACTGGCATGGCAAACAACATTTCTTGCTGCCGTTTTTCGCGGTAGAGCACTGCAGAATTTTTCAAATGTAATCTAATGATTTGTGCGTTATAATATTCTTAGTTTTTATGAATGGTAACACGCAGTGTTTCATCATTTAGGGACACTTTCCAATCTAAATTCATTTTAGAATGCTCAACATTGGCCATTAGCAAAATAAGACGTTGACACAATTTCGATATTAGGGCCAGCCCGGCCTTACTTTCACAGGTCCTGACAGGAAGATCACTTCGCCGCTGCGAACAGGCCGAAAAATTTACAACATGTTGGCCGCTAGTTGCTGACCGCTGTGCCAAAAGCGAACAGCCTTTTTACTGCTGCGAGAGAATTCGCCACTGCAAATCGCTACTTTTTGTGTTATGTGAAACGACCTTTAGCGATTTGCAAAACTTTTGAAGGCACATTCTTGTGAGTATGGGCTTATGAAGTAGCAGATCTCATCAGGCACGGATCCAGCAACTCATTTTAAGAGGGCTGGGGGTGGCAGTCATTTGAAGTAACACAGGAGGATGGGAGCCCTGACTTTTTTGTTTAAGTAGCCCGAAAATCACGTCATAGCACAATGTTACTGTGAGAATAACTTTACTGGACAAAATACAGAATGAACTCGGGGCGGACAAGATGGCATCCAGCTCCCTCGTAGAGACAGACAACGCCGTCCTTTTCCCTGTCCTCTTCCCCATTATCAACCGCCCGTTACATGATTTCCCGGCCGCTGAAGCACCGACCCGATGCTAATCAGGAGGCACTGGAGTGATATGGCTTGAGTCGCGTAACATGTACTATGTCATTGCGAGGTCCGTAGGGGCGATTTCATAAGTGGCAGCAGTTATTTGGATTAAGATGCCATAGGAACCTGAATAGCGTGGTAGTAACTTCTCCGAAAATTCAAGGTGGCACGAGGGGGACCAATGCAGAACGAGATTGCCAGGTGTGAAGTAAACATCACGATGACGGGCGTTATATACGCTCTTCTGATTGTCCTGGAAGTCCAGTAGTCGTCATCGAGCAACTTGGCGTGCCATTTGGGCCTTTATTTTTGCATGCCGAACGTACTCAGACGTGTCATTCAATCCGGTCGCCTGAAGCGTGTCGAAAGGTAACGCAGGGTCACGGTCGAACAACAGATAAAAAGAAGAGAACCCAGCGGTGTCATGTCTAGAGGAATTGTACGCGAATGTTACAAACGGTAACAGGATGTCCCAGTCGCGGTGATCGGTAAAAACACATGGAGAGCATGTCGGTGAGAGTGCGATTGAGGCGCTCTGTTAGACTATTTGTTTGTAAATAGTAAGCAGCCGAAAGCTTGTGTTAGTTGCGCAGGAGAGGAGGAGGTTATCAACCACTTTGGAAAGGAAGTAGCTGTCTCGGTCGGTAAGGAGTTGTCGAGGGGTGCTGTGGTGTAGGATGACATCCGTCAAAAGGAAATCGGCCACACCAGTTGCACAGCTGATTGAAAGGACCCGTGTGATTGCGTATCGGGTAGTATAATTGATTGCTACTGCAATCCACTGATTACCCACAGCTGACACAGGAAAAGGGCCAAGCAGGACCACGCCAACACGGTAGAATGGGTCTCAGGGGATGTCCAGTGGCTGAAGACGTCCGGCAGTAGGGGCATTTGATTTTTTCCTCGTTGACAAGGGTCGCAGGCTGCAACATAACGGCAGACGTCGCGGTACATGCCAGGCCAGAAGGAGCACCGGCGAACTCTGTCGTAGGTCCGTGACACGCCGAGGTGACCGGCTATCGTTGCATCATGAAGCTGGGCGAGAATAGTCTGACGCAATCGAAGGGGAACGATAAGTAGTCTTTCTGTGCCGTCAGGATGCATATTGCAATGGTACAATACACCATCATGTAATTCAAACATTCGAAGGGAAGAGTCAGCATTGTTGACTTCAGTCGCCATGGGGGAGGCCACTAGGTGCCCGCTACGAAGCTCCGCGTTGCTTGAAGTGAGTACCCCGCACCTTCCACCAATGATGTTACGGGGAGAATAACTTTATTGGTCAAAATACAGAATGAACTCGGGGCAGACAAGATGGGGTCCAGCTCGCTCGTAGAGACAGACCATGTCGTCCTTTTCCCTGTCCTCTTCGTCATTCTCGTCCGCCCGTTACAATATGTGCTCACAGTGACCCTACGCAGTTGTCCTGAGCGGTGATAGAAGCTGGATGACTAAGCACTGAAGATAGGGGGGGGGGGGGGTGCTGACACAGGCTATGGGGGGGAGGGGGGGGGGCGACCGTCCCTATCACCCTCCTCTGGATCCGCCACTGTGAGCAGAGCTTTGATTGGGGTTTGCGAGAAACACCGTTCCCTCTAGCGACAATGGTACACGGTCGTGTTTTAACATATTTTGACGAGACGTACCTTCACTCGACGTAATCCTGTAGCAAACAAAAACTTTCGTGGATCGCACGCGTGCCAGCGAAGCATTACAACAGCAATAGTGCAAACACAATAGAATGACAGCGGAGTGAACACGACGGCTTGAGACGCTGGACTGATAAAGTATGAGCTCTGCCAAATGACAACAGCACTATGAAGATGAAGTGATCAGAATGACGGACTACGGCATATAGACTATTGAATGCCGACGGAGTGGCGACGATAAAACGATGACTACAGCACTGCAATGAAAGGATGACAGCAACCGAGCGACAACGAAGCCATGAGCCACGAAAGCCAGCTCTGTGTTGGCGTTGCACCGCATAGAACACAATCGACCACCTATGTTTAGGGATATGTTGGAAACCAATCCCTCATGCAATCTAACAGGAGACATCGTAATGAACAAAGGGAATTTACAAATTGGCAAGTTTCGCTCGATAAACACGTCGGCATTTCTGCAGGACATTTGATGTCATGGACCTCTTGTTACATTTCTCAAATTTCGCGAACTGGACTTTTCCATGTAACAAAATAAGCAGGTAATACGAGCTAAAGTCACTGCCGCCCGTGTCGAACCACAACCATGCCGGTGAGCATGCTTACATAACCGGCGTCGTTACTACCTTGACCGGAGCAGCGTCAACTGGAGTTGAAGGCGGCTGTTGCTTGTTTTCATCTCGCTTGCTGTCGCCTTTAGGCTCCGCAGCGTCTTCAGGATCCTCTTTCGGTCGTCTCAATTGATGACGAACCTCAGGAAATGCTGCTTTGCCCCTTCCACGACCGGCCATTTCTTACCCTGCCAAGTACTTGAAAGTGACTTGAAAGCATCACAAAGCGCATGCTGGCCGTCAAAACTATCCAATAAAAACACTGCCTCACCACAAAAAAAAACCCATGGTCAGTCATCGACAATAGAATAAGGTTGAGAATAATATAAATAATCGCTTTAGGATATTGTTGTTACCATAGCCTCCTGCGTGCGAAACAAGCAAAGTCTGGGACAAAAATAGCCGATTGAGAATCAAGTGTGGCAACAACAACAACAATGTCAGCGTCCTACGGGAGTAGAGCACGTAGAGTTGCTTGTAAGTTGCTGGCATGATTGCTGGTGTTAGTGGGTAGCGTAATAATGCACGAATAAAACATAATGTCTAAAATTGTCGAAAAGACAGTGAATTCTCTTCAGGCTTACGTTAGTCGAAACATTCTGAGGGGAGAGTTTCTTCTTCAAGACTTCACGTTAGAAATCGCCTCTGCTGCATCGAAAGAGGTTAGTTTCACTTTTGCTCAAGGAAGAGCTTTGTGTGCGAATGTCAGTTCCTGATGTCTTTGAAGGATGAAAACGAGATCATCGCCAGAAAGCTGTCGGCTTTGGAGCAAGACATGAAAGACTGCTTGAAAGTGGTAAGAAATGCGAGTTACCGTCGTAAGTGAGCTGTTGTGGAATAGCATAGTTGATTCGCTAGCTGTCAATGTCTAATCGCCTCTTCGGCAGGAACGTATTGAGGAGTACCTTCTTCAGGCCATGTACCTGGAAATGCTGGGATATCCGACTCCATTTGCGTATGTTCATGCCGTCAAGCTTCTACAGCAAGGACAACTTAGCCAAAAGCTTATAGGTGAGCTCTTGTTCAAGTGCTTTTCCATCTCAACGTAGGATACATGGGACCTAAAAAGCCGCCAAAAATACCTAAAAGTGCTTTATTTCAGGTTATCTGGCAACGACTGTATTTTTAGATCCTAGTCACGAACTAGTTGTACTGCTAATCAACAGCATTCAGAGGGTAAGTAACAAGTCTGTTTAAAAAGCGTTCGCACCTCAAAAGGTTCCCACTCAAAAAGTAAAAAAAGAAGAATACTTACAGATGAAGCAAATGTTCTCGTGCATACAACGCTCGATTTGTGCAGGACCTGACAAGCAAAGTTTCCCTTGTCGTTGTCATGGCGCTTGAAATCATACCAAGGCTTATTCACGGTGAGTTTGCCGTGGCTGTCCAACCACTCGTAATTGAGAAGACGGGACATTATAGGTAAGTTTTCCTGCTTTGATGAGGTATACATAATGGCAATCTCGTCACTATGGTAGGAAATTGCCATGCATATGTTTGTAACACAAAGAAAACTCCTAAAGGATTGCCCCAAAGGAAAGCTTCCTAGTTAACGAAAAACTTACTGGTGTCCCGTACTTTATTTCGGCACTGGGGGAAACACCCGCCGACGTGGTCTAGTGGCTAAGGCACTCCGATGCTGACCCACAGGTCGCGGGATCGAATCTTGGCTGCGGCGGCCGTCTTTTCGATAGAGGTGAAAATGCTTTTGGGCTGTGTGCCCAGACTTAGGGGCACGTTAAAGAACCCGAGGTGGTCAAAATTTCTGGAGCTCTCCACTACGGTGTCTCTTATAATCATATCGTGGTTTTGGGACATTAAACCCCAACAGTTATTATGACACCACGGGGAAAATCATTCGTCTAGCCTTTCACAAGGCTTCCTCTACATCCTGGGTTTCCACTGAACTGATTTGTCATCAAGTGACAGCTAAGTTGTACATCTATTTTATCACAAAAATACCCTGAATAAATACAATCGGTTTAGTATGGTTTGTGGATACCTTGCCTGCACTGTCTTGTCAAATGCATTATATATGCATGTATATATAACCTGTGGTGTCAGATAAAAGCAATATGCAAAATTTCCATTTTCTACAAGATGCTGGAATAAATATGGTATTAATTGTTTTTAATATGGCAAAATTAGTCTGTAGAAATTTGTGAAATGACCTTTTAGTGTTATGCAAGCTTTATCAGTGTCAACAACCAATTTGTATGTAAGGAAGCACATGAAATGCTCTAGCTGTCCATATAAATGCAACTTTTCTTTTTCCAGCTCTGCTGTGCGCAAGGCGGCACTTGTAGCACTTCAGCATTGTTACTCCCAGTGTGGTTCCACACAGATTTCATTGGCTCATGTGCGGATCTTGGAAAAAGGACTAGCTGACCCTGAAGTAAATGTGGTGTCATCGGCAGCTCAATGTATTCGAGTGTGCGCCAAGGTAAAGGCTTCTGTCATAACAATTGCTTAGATGTGGCACGCTAGTGTGAACGTGTGGGTCTGCTAGTACTAATATATGTCTGTACGCACAACTCTGTAGTTCATTGCTAATGGCTCCTGACAATTATTACAACTTACATGTAATTTTGATTCCTAACTGTAGTTACATAATAAAAGACAGCAAAGCATGCCTCCTAATTGTCTCTATACAGCCTGAAAAAAAAAATAAAACAACACTAGGTGGGTGAGCAAAACATTATGGAACAATTCTTGTGGTTAATGTAGAGATAAATTGGCAAGTAGTATTACAGTAAACATTGCACAGGAGGTGGCCACAGAGTTATGACCAAATATACAGCAAATGCAGAAAAAAAAATAGAACAGCTTAAATCATGCAGATAGAAAACACGCAGAAAGTATTGGTATTGGATAGTGCAAAAGCCATATTACTGCTCAGCCTGCATTAAAAGTAATTTTATTTTATTTATTTATTTTCAGGTACTGTTGGCCTGATTGAGCCAACAGTACTTGGAAATCTGGCATGCTTTACAAACATAAATACTGGTGCATACAAATGTACAAAATTTCAAACAAAGATAGAATATTCTTTGCCATTTGATTCATATTCATTTTGAGAATACACTGTCCGATTTATACAGTAGTTGTTTCTGTTCAAATATATTATATGACAGAATAACAGTTGCTGCAGCTCATGGAGTGAAAGAGAGCGCAGTTATGTCGTTACTGTCCTAGTTGTTGGTGCACGTTGTAGTCACCTACAAGTCTGTATTTTGATCTGACGTCCGTTGGTTATATGTTATATATTTGTCATGTAGCATAAATGAAACTCTGTCATTACAAGCTGTACTATAGAGCACCTTTATGTTTCTTAGTAGGTTACTGAAAAGGCAGAAGTATACTGATATGTAATTCAGTGGGCTGGTTTCTCTTTTTGTTTTTTGATATTCAACTTGAGTAGAAAATTTCAATACTCTAACAGGTGTACCCAGCAGTGTCATTCATAGCCTCTCTCCTCGCGTGTGAATTACAGGACAGTGGGGCTGAAATCGATCATCTGTGTGCTCCTTTGCTGGATGTGCTAAGCCAACTCAGGTTGAAGAGGGTGAACAGTGATTACGAGTTTGGAGGGATCTCGGCGCCATGGCTCCAACTGACGCTTCTCGGAGCCTTAGGTCATCTACAACTTGACGCAGAGCAAGTATTGCATGCATATTCACTGATATTGGCTGTTTCTGTCACTGAAGCTTGTGCCATGGTATTTGTATATTTTAGGGGCGGAGGTGTAGTGTCCCTCTATCCATAAACTGCTGCCCGGCGCCTAGAGTGGATGTTGAAACCTAAACATCTGTGAACAACAAAAAGGTTTTCAAAAGACTGTTAACCAAACAAAAACAAAATAAAAGTCCATAGCACTGGAAAAACATCAACATTTAACCATCAATCAATGCATATGACAGAACAAAAAGTTAACTAGAACAAAACAAAAGGTTGTTAACCCGAACAAAATGGAAGACCACGATTTATGATCTGATGCACAGTGCTTCACCTTATCAGCATTCACTTCTTGGATATGCATGGAATTTTGTATGTATGCTTATGTAGAGTTCGGTTGCTGATACTTATGCCTTTAGTGATTAAAATAATTCTGAAATGTTGCCAAGGAGATGCTCTGCTTCTCGTTTTTCGGACTACATCTTGAATGATTAATGTGTTACAGCTTCAAGTGTGGGCGTTTTAGAGTTTGTGAAAGTGGTGCTTTTGGAATTCTTAAAGAGCGTTGCTATTTCACTTGCGTAAGTTTTCTTCTCTTTATCCCATTTTAGGCAAACGAAGAATGTACTAAGCACACTGAAGGATATATTGGATTCGAAAATCGTTAACCAGACCATCTATTATGGTACGTTGTTTCTTGTCTCTGTCCGAATACGTGGTAATTGGGATCATTACTGCTGTATAAATCTTCGTGCTTGCATTATTTGGTGCATTCATATCCTTTCCCTATTACTCTGTGGCTTGATGGTTGTATTGTAGCTAGCCAGAGTGACTCCTGCGTTTGAAACTTTAGTCCCCTCATGGTAGTAACAATGTTGTGATGTGGTTGTGGCCGGTACATTTTTATTCTTCGGATACTTTTCTACCAAACAGGGGGAGGGTTGTTGGTGCTTTTTGAGATGTGGTGCAGAAAAATATCACTTTGGCTACAAAATAGTTTTTGAAAGTAATTAGGGTTTTTTGTTTTCAATATCTACCTAAAATAGTCATGGAGCTTTATTGTGTATAATATCGATAATAAATATGTGAAGACATATGTATATATTCAATTTTTTAACATCTTTTTTAACCACCCAAAATGTTTTGCATGTGGCCATTACATGTGGTATGTCTTAGGTGATCGTCTTGAAATAAAATAAGCTGGCACAGTAGAAGACTGCCTGAGACTTTGGTTTCAGTGATAAAAAGTAATTTTACTGGCCTGGACAAATTGGAGTATGCATATTCGTTACAGGTTACAATGGTAAGTATCCCCAATTGCATGCACATCGACAAATTTTGGCAGGGTGTGTCTTATGTACTATATCGCACACTGTCCTGAAAGAATGCACGAATTGTAATTCATATTGAACAGAACAGTGCAGGCTGTTCCAGGAAAAAGTTGCCAACATGAAGTGCTGTTATCTGGCAGGATTTAATCAAGTTATGAATGCTGGAACAACATTCAAGCAAGCAGGAGATTGTAGGAGCATTATAAATGGCTGGCCCAGGTAGCATGCTTGCTTTCATGCCTTTGATGGAGCTATCAGCGTTCATGTTTCCAGCTGTGCAGACTGACAGGTCTATTATGATGGCAACAGTGCATGAAAAGCTTAAGAAAATACGCTTTTTAAATTTGTCAAGTCTGCACTTGTCATAATCGTGCCTTTTGTTTGTTTTTATGTTTTATCTTGAGATGACTGGCTAGTGCATATTACAAGACGTTTGAGTTTCTATGTGCCTCGTACTTCAACAATATGTGTTTGAAAAGCAGTGGCTTATCACTTTTCTTTGTTTCTTATCTCTGTGTCTGCACAGTTCTATTTAGTATGCTATCGTTTGCAAAAATATATTTTGTGTCCCATGTGACCTTGATGTTTTGCTTGGTTTTGAATGTAATGTAGTAGCACAGATTGGGCACAATGTTCAGTTGAAATGCATAGATTTAGTTTGGTGCTGTACTTCGAAATCGATCAATTTGTCCAAAAAGTGGTATTTCAATAACCTTTTCGAAACCATGGAGTGTGTTCCAGGGGAAATGCGGCAGCGCAGCTCTCTCACTGTATTGTTCAGTTTTTAATGTCTTCCACCTTGCTCATTTCCACACCACATCATACACACCAGTAATTTGTGAAAATTCTTCTTGTTTGGCAGCCATACTTTGGGAGTCCTTGAACACGCTTTCCAAAGTCCTTACAACTGGCAGCGCTCTTCAGAAGAGTGCGATCAACTGCATTGCCAAAATGCTTCACTCAAACAGCACTGATCTGAATTACGCAGGTAAGCAGTGACAGATTTTCCATCTTGATGTTCTGAATTTCTTTTCTTCCTCCATATCCTCCTGCTCTTGAGCAGTTTCTTGTGGTTCCAAACAATGATGTTTACAATGTCTTTCACCAAAATACTAGTATGCTGGTCTTCATTCTACAAGACGTCAGTTTCTAGAATGTACATAATAGCCTGTATTTGCCGTAAATTGTTTTTGTTATGATTGCCGGTCTCGTAGCTTTACATTTGATCAAACTTTTCATAGTGAAGTTCCATGATATACCAGTAATGAAATTACCAAGGCCAGCCATTTTACGAAAAATGAATCTGTTTGACTGGCTGTTGTGGTTTTCTACGTTGGAAGAGCATGTTGGAAAATCTAAGAAGTCCAGGGAGGGTTTTCTGTGAAACCACATCGAGGAGTTGCAGCAAGAGTTGGTATCTCTTACAAATATAATTGAGATACATGTCTTGCTTTTATTTGTGTAACTACATTAAACTTTGTGAAATAAAGCTCTAGGTTGTAACAAGTAATATTAGTGAGGCCCACATTGCTTGTCCTCATTTAGTACTTGACACTATATGCTCCCAATGATAATAATCGTCTGAGTGTGGAACTGTACAAGCAACCTGCTTTAGAAGCTTTGCTGAATGAGAGCACAGATCTGTTCTTTTACTGAAAACACCATGTACTTGCACATAAACAATTGTCATGTGAGCATTGTAACAATAAGTGGGTTCAAAGGTTATATTTCTTTGCCAACTGGTTTCTTGTTAAGTCTGAACAGCCGTTAGACATGCAATTGCTGGTTTGTACGTTGCATTCAAAATCATGATTGGTCTTCCCGTTCATATTTTATAGCCATAAACTAGGGTTCTTGTTGCTCAAGCTGTTTTTTAATACATAAATGCTATTAACAGCAAAGCTGTTTAAAGCCGAGGCAAATCTCTAGAGATTCGTCGTCCACTCTCTTTAGCCCAGCTGCGAGGGCGATCATAAGTGAGGCTAAGTGAATGAAAAAAAAGGCCTCAAGTACACTCAAACCTCATTATAACAAAGTTTCATGTTACATGAAAATAGGTTTGTTATATTCAAAAATTCGTTATGGATGTTTATTCCTAACACAATATGTATTCCGAGACTATTTTTCATTTGACTGGGCTGATGAAATCACTCGACCAATGGCAGCGTACGCTCAAGCACAGGTGGTGCTAGTGAGAGAAGAAGGAAGAGTGCACCTAGCACTGGTGAAGGAGGAAAGGCATGCCGATGCCATCAGCTTGGCTGCTTGATCAGCCTTCATACCGTCAAGTCAGAGTTGCGCTTAATTTTTTGGAATTGGGATGGATCTTTACTTGAACTTTACTGCAATGCACCAGCTAACGTGGTGCCAGAAACAGTTTGAGCACATTGTAATGCCTTGACTCTCACTTAGGTGTCGATGCACTAGAACGAGTCCTTGCCAAGTGTTGTCCTTCAGAAGCGATCACGTGTCAAGACGTCATCATCGACTGTCTTCACCACCCTGATGAAAGTGTCCGGATCAAGGTAATTCTCTTTTTTTATTGTTCCCATCGGTTAAGTAATACTGCCTCAGGCAACTGCCAGAATTAATTGGAGTTGTTGAAGAAATGCAAATCCATTCTCACGCACATGATCGAAGTATAGTATATTTCGCAAGTAGTGGAATAAGGATGAAGCACTTGCTTGGGATTCCATGCAATGTTACTTTCATTGAATGCCATGCATCTTTTCCTCAATCTTAGCAAAGTATGCAAGTTGGTTCTCCAGTTTGACTCTGTTAAGAAAAGTCCTCGCACTTGGCATGCGTGTGCACCTCAAGCCATTTTGATGAGTGGAAAAAACAAGGTTTCTTTTTCATGAGGAACTCCCAATCTTTAATGCTTTATGCCGGCGTCCCACCAAGACTTTTGGAGAACGTGTGAGCCAGCTGTTATAGTGCAGTATGTAGCCTGAAATTCGCAACTAATTCTCAAAATTGGCTAGAAATTGCTTCATTTTCTTTCTACGAATGATACCATATGCCCAAATCGCTAGACCATATGTAACCAAGGCCCACGGCTCTTGGCTTACTTGAGCATCCCAAGCTATGTATTTACTACGGCTGCTGTAAAATGGTGCTACGCACCATCTTACAGCAGGAAAAAAAAATTGAGAAGAAAGTGGTCCTGGTCGTGATGCATGCTGACGAAAAAAAGCATCTTCTTTCTCCCTTTCGATCTCCCTTCTTGTGCTCTTACTGATACGAAAAGAGAAAGTTTTTAGATAGGGGTGTGTGAATGTTCGAAATTTCAAAAATATTTCCAATAGTGTTTCTTATTCGATTTGCACTGGAGTTTTAACTGTTTATAATATTCGAACTTGTCAAACTTGCTAAGGACAAATACAGTCAACGTTCGATTGAAAGGGACCCCTTTCTCTGTATTGCGGCAAAGCTGCCCTTCAAGCTCTGCTACGGTCGCAAATGTATTGAGTCAAGAAGACGTGGGTTCCAACAGGAGTATTGTAGATGTCGCAGAAGCGGGGGCTCAATTAGTGTTGTCTCGAACTTGAAATTCGGGCAGGAAGTATGAAAAATCGGAGGCCAAAGATTTTAGCATTCAAAATTTCACATGTTCTTACTTATTGACGTCTATGAGGCAGGCTTGAAACTGCGGACTTGAAGGGAGCACACCTTTGTCCGCCATGTCAGCTGGGCTTCCACAGAAGTTGAAAGAGGAGACGCTGAAGAAAGAGCAGTTTTGCGTTTCACATGTGAAGTGTTGTTGGCAACACTTTGGTTGCCCCAAATCATGTGCATAAATACAATTCCGCTTCTGCATTGCCTCATTCTTGATAAGACGACTATGATACACCACCATGCCACTGCTTCCTAGCCAAAAGAAACACTTTCATGTTGTAATCTCAAAAGAATATGAATAGGAATCCTCCAACATTTTTCTGCAATTTCACTTTGAAGTATTTGAAAAATATTGTGCAAAATATTCTAAAAATATTCAATTTGATTCGCACCCAAGATTTTGCTATTCGCAGAGGTCTACTTTTGAAGCATGTGGCGAATCCTTGCAACTCTGCTCGTACTTTACGAATTGTATGAGTGTTTGTGGTTGTCCATTCGTAGTCCGATGAGCCCTTTTAATGAAGCCATTAGAAGTTAACTTGGAAAACTATTGCAGGCCACCTTTAAGGTGACTTTGTACTGCGCAACAAATTTTTCTTGCCCTAGAACAACTTCATCATACTGGTTGCAACTGTATAAACTGTGAGTTTGGTATGAAGTGATTACCTGTCAACGAGTCATTTGTTTGGATGTTCCTCTTTTCAGACACTCAACCTCCTCATCACTATGGCCAATGCCACCAACGTAGCGGCCATTGTGAATCGCGTTATGAAGTATGCCTCGACGTCCGTGGATTGCACGGTTCGGTCAGTTCGTATGTGAAAAGATCGTTCATCTGCTGAAGCTATATCCTTTCGTTTCTGCTTTTGTATAAACAGCCGGCTGCAGTTGGTGCTCGTGCGCATTTAGCTGCTCAGTTTGCATGATAACTGCATACGCATCCTCGTCATATCTTTGTATTTACTATCAATTTCAACTTTTATTTGTGCGTGCTTACTTCATTGCTCTTAAATTTTCACCTGCGCGACCAGGTCTGAAATGGCATCCTTAACTCATTACACATATTTGGACGACATCAGGTGGTGTGCGACAACCTTCGTTAATCTGCTACTCATTGCCCCCAGTCACATAACAGAAGCGACAGTTCTCGACTTCATTAATATATTTAAAAAAGGCAAGTTGTTTTTAAGAATTCATTGCTTTGAACCAAAAACAGTGATTTAATGGGTACATAAAAAAAGTTCTAGGTTATAAACATGTATTCAAGTATGTTGTCTACTGATTATAGCAGTAATGCATTTAGGCATCTGCAGTACTTACCAGGCTTTTTTCAAATTTTCATGCTCCTTTCGCAAAAATAAAGGTTGAAAAGAGGTGTAGCTATAGGATTCTTTTATTTTCTTTACTAAAAAGTTCCTCGTTGATTTTTGGTATTAGCTTAACTGGTGTATAAGTAAGAAGTTATGCTCACTTTTGATACAACCGGTAGCATGACTAGGAGATGTCGTCCATTCACTGAATTTTGATGAGGAGTTTTAAAAGTAAAGGTCGGACAAATTTGAGGCCAGTACTATGTACTCGTGAGCAAAGTTAAGGCAAAAAAGCTTTTTTTAATTGATTAGAAACATTTAGGATGAAAGAAAGAAAAAAAAACTGTTTTTCATTAGAAACCTTTAGGGGCACATGCGTTTTGACAAAAAAAAGTTGTGTTAATCTGTAGTCCTAGTGCAATAAAATTTTTGCTGTATATACAGGCTTTTATGTTGATTTCAAATGTGTAATTAGTTTTATGGTGAGTGTCAGAGCTTTACTTTTATGCTACGACAATGAGTAACATATAGTTGCTTTTGGACCGACCTTTTATGCCACTAAACATTTTGGTTCTCGGCCATTGATGGGTCATATTGCTCTACATTGACTGTACAATGCAGATGACTGTCAAGAAAATGCGTATAAGACATTTTAGTGGGCACAAAAATTTTTTTAGTGAAGATGCTTTGAACACTCAGCCCCACTAATTATTCACTTTAGGTCTGCAATAATTATACAAGTGATATCAAGTTAAAAAAAAACTTGCACCTTTCACATGTTATTGAATATGTGGGCAAAATTTTATCCCATTCGGGCTATCAGAAATACCAAACACATGATGGTTAACCTTGAGAAGTTGCCCAACAATGGATCTTCAGAAAAATGCATTTTAAAATTATAAGTGAAAGGTCGTCTATGCTGAAAAGATATGTTTTTAAGATTATTTCTTCCGTCATGAAAGCTTGCCAATCATTGTTGTTTTGAGCATGGGGCTTTAGGGAATTGCTCATGCGGAGTGCAAAGGCGAACAATCAGGTGACAATTTCCAGGGGACCCTAGACAATGAGCTCTTTTTAGTTTTTAGTAGCCACCTTGTGCTTTTTAAAAGGGATTTTAACCTATTGCGAGTTCATTTGCAATCTTCATTTTTTTTTTGTCGAGGAAATAGAGATACTATACTTGTCAAAGCAAATAAAAATGAAAAATATGTAATTTTGAAGAAATGTGTTTTTTGACTCACATCTCTCTTTAAGATAAAAGAAAGGAATTCCTACAAAAATTGTAGCTGATGCAATCAATTTTGTTGAAATAAAAAAAAAAGGACTCTTGTTTACACATTTTGATAATGCATTGACATGCTCTTCATTGACAGGATGTGCATTTCGGGCATGGGGATTATTGTGGTTTTGGAACAGCCTCTCCACTTGCGGTATTAGTCCCCTGCGAGTTTTTTTTCTTGCCCAATTGAAAACAGTGCTTTCAAGGCAGAGTTATTGGTATATGATGATCTTTGTACCTGAAGCTTCATCGCTGTTTTTAGTAGGGGCAGCACCCTGCTGCGGTGGTCTAGTGACTAATGGTACTGGGCTGCTTGATCGAATCTGGCTGCGGTGCGTGATCGCAGCCGGATTGCGTGATCATAGGTTGCGTGATCGAATCCTGGCTGCAGCGGCTGCATTTCCGATGGAGGCGCAAATGTTGTAGGCTCGTGTGCTCAGATTTAGGTGCACGGTAAAGAACACCAGGTGGTCGAAATTTTCGGAAACCTCCACTACAACGTCTCTCATAATCATATGGTGGTTTTGGGATGTTCAACCCCACAAATCAATCAATTGGTAGGGGCAGCCTGCTGCATGCCCTCCGTTCGTACCGCAAGAGAATACAGAATGAAATAACCAAATAACAATTTAGTAAACATCGACTCATATGTAACTACACTGCCAGTCAATTCAGTGGAAACTACGATGGCCCTCGTCGCTCTGGCCACATGTTTCCGAATTGTTCTGACACCGGACACCCGCTGCGCATGTTGTGCAGTGTTCGCGTAAACCCTATGGACCCTTTTCATAATTTGCAAGTGCGCTTCTCTGCACTGCATATTTGAAGAAGTAACGGCGGCACCTGTCGTGCTTCAAGTGGAGACATGGTCTTAGTTGAGCACCTGTCGTGCTTCAAAAGTGGAGACATGGTCTTAGTTGAGCACATTGGGGCTTGTCCGTTATGAGTGCCTATATAAAGAGAGCCAACTAAAAATTTTTCATGTCATTGTATAAGCAAACCGCACTTGAACAAGCTTTTTGCTTCAAATGAAGAGCTGCGATTAGTTTTTCAAGGTGCATAGCAGAAAAGCTAACTTTACAATTCTGTAAAGGGTCTGCTATGCATGTTTTGATTTTCTATGCTGAAGTGCTCAGCAGACAAGGGGCTTCCACCTGTCGGATAAGCGGAAACAATGTGTATGTGCATTGTGTCGAATAGAGTGTGGGTTAAAAGTGATCTGATAAATTAAACAAAATGTTTGTATCGAATAAATTTTTATATGCATATTGTACGAGTTTTTGGGACTGTTTTCATTCACAAATTGGCTCATTCTGTTCATCTCAGAAAAAGAAGCAGTTTTGCCATGCATAATACCGGAGTTACTCAAGGCTGACGACGTCTACAGTGGAGAAAATGTCGTCGCTATTGACATTCGTGGCATGGGTTAGTATATTCTAATAATAAGTCCTCATATTTGCTGTGTCAAGTATGTAAATGATCTCCGGTAATTAAAATATTGTAATCAAAATCATCCTTTTGGAAGGTCTAGTTGCAGAGAAGTCGCAATTCATGTAATCAGTCACCAACAGGCTCTCTTTCTTGGATCTATGGACGATGCTGTAGGATGTACATGTAATTCGCGCTGAACGTTGTGATCCTGCCTGTTTGACATCATAGGTCTACGCATAGCAAGTTACACTGCCTTCTAAAATTCACAGTCTGAGTGAATCTCTCTATGGAAGTGGTGGTGACAGGATCAATGTAAAGGTGTACAGTTGAACCCCTGAAAATCCAGAGGTATGCACTGGGGAGAAATTGTTTTTTTTTATGACGTGTGTCTTACAAGTAGGGTATCATGTTTGCGTTTTCTTATCAATTCTTATTTTGATGATATCACTGGTGTCTCTTATACCCATTAGCCTCTTACATCACTGTCTCCCATAAATGGTTCGACTGTACCTCTTATCTTTCATGTTGGGATGCAACCAAGTTGACTTTGGTATCATCAGGTACTTCACGAAAACTTGCCAACTTTAAGCAGGACTCGCTATATCGCTGGAGCTAACTTAGTGCTTTCACAGCAGTACTATAAATGTCCTGCACTTGCACCATTCTGTTGATCGTAAAAGTTGTTTTTTCAGTAGAAGGGACTCCGTCGACATCTCGCAACACTGAGTAATGTAGAAAATTTTTGGTAGTTAGAACATACCCATGATGACCAGTGCCTGTGTCATCTAATTCCTCGTGTACTGTGTCTTGTTTGCACTGGGTGCCATTAGATGCAACAAGTTTGCATGTTTCAGTTGGTTCAATACGGATTTGCATTTAGTGCCTTTTTTAACTGGACTGTGAACTACATAAATGTTCGTAATTTATAAGTGGTAGTTCGAGCTGTCCCTGGCTGTGCTTTAACAATTCTTTGGGGACAGAGAGCATCATTCGGGCTTTTCACACGACTGTGTTAGTGAATGCATTTTAGCACTAGATCCATATATTACATCTGAATCATTACTCATTACTATGAGGGCCTGAGTTGGAATCATGTATTTACTGAATCTTACATTTTTTAGGTATAGATAATTCTGAATTAGTAAGCATTTGTATCGATTTTCATTGAAAATTCTGTCTTGTAAAGTGTATCTGATAGGTGCTGCCACTGGTACTACTATGGCTTCGAAGGGTGGTATTGATGTTAGCAAAATAAAATGTTTGCAAAAATCAAATGGAAAAGTGGCTGGCCTTACGTTACCTGTGCCCCACTGATGCAGACCAACCTCGGACACATAACATAATGCTACTCTGGCATTACAGACTCAAATTGGCTGTTTCATAGGTTGGCACACAATACATTGCTGTGCAACAAGAAACTGTGAATACATATCCTGATTGCACTTTATTTGGTTATCTTCTTGGCATTTGCTACCTTTCTTGGTTTTCTGGTTTTAGTGACTATTGCCTTGGCTGTTGCCCTACAGGGTATTGGACAAGCCAAACCAGATATGACGGCCAGCTGCTCATTTTTGGAGGCTGCACAGAAGTTGACGGTCATCCTGGAATCTTGTCAGTCTGACAGCCAGTTGTCATTGTGCATCCTCACCTCATTGTCCATGCTGCTGCTTAACTGGAAACGGCCACTTCAAGACGACATGGGAACCGTGACTCGTCTTGCAAGCAGCAGCACATCACCACTGGTCAAGCAGGTACACTTTGCAAACGAGCAGCTTTGTGCAGATCAGTTCTTTGACTCTACTCAGTAAACAACTATGTATCAGCAGGTGGCATTGTGAATGTTTGTGGTATGTGTGTTGCTCATCGAAGAGGCCTAAATTCTTATATATGATAGTTTTAACGACAAGTTCAATGGGGCTCTCCATTAACACTACTGTGTCTGTGGGAAAATAGGCCATTGTGACGTAGTGTCAGTTTTGGGCCCAGGACCACTCAGTAAGGAACTGAATCGAACCCCGAGTGCACAGACACACACACGAGAATATATTTACAGAGAACGTAACTATGAACGAGTAACACTTAAAGTAGTAGAAACACGCAGTCTATAGCTGTACTCAATGTCTCTCTAAATTAGAAAAGTCTCGCCGTGTTTTGATGTGGCTTGCGGGTCGCTGGCGTCGATCGCTCGTGGGCTGTGCGCCGTCTGTCTCGTTGCCGTCCTCAACGTGCGTCGGACCACACAGTGACACGGCCTTCTGTCGCACCAGCAGCAGTCGGTAGCTGATTGGTAGCTCCGCAGCAGCTCTCCGCCACCACGCTCGTCTCAGCAGCGCACCGGGGTCGCTGCCAGCCACCCGGAACGGCAGCAGGAACATCAGGCCCGCAGCAACCAAAACTCACAGCCACTCTGGACGGCAGCCAGCACCGCGGAACCTCGCCTGGTCCCTGGGCCAGTCGCCCAGCCGGAGTACAGGCCTCGTTCACAGGATGTCCAGAGTCCGGAACGGCAGCCAGAACAGCAGTGGATCGCCTGGTTCCTGGGCCAGTCGCCCAGCCGGAGTCCAGGAATGGTAGAGCGCCTAGATGCCGTAGTCTAGTTCCCCGGACCGGACATTTAGCCGAGAACTGACTCCTTGCACGTGCTACTTCGAACCACCGCACACCACGCGCACGCTTCGTTTTCCTCTTCGCCCCCGCACGGCGAACATTGAATTCTTTTTTTTTTTCCGCGCCTCTGTATCATGACAGCCATTTTTGGCTACTCTAGTAAATGTCAACAGGCAAAATTTGACGTTGAAAACCGTTGATAGCGTGCTATCGGTGGGTAAAGGCCCAGACACAGAAAAGTGTTAAACATGTAATACGTAGTCAGTTTCATTTCATTTTATTAATATGAACCTAGATGCCTATTAGGATGTCTAGGATAACCAGCCTGCATTCTTCTTCTGTAATATTGGTCTCTATTTATTTTGCTGCTACCTATGTGCAACTGTTGTTCAAATTGCAAAGCATTTGTTATGTTCACTACAGGGCTGTCCAGACCAGCTAAGCCATTTGAGTACAATAGGCATAATGACTTTGTTTTGTACCAGCTTGACCAGCGTGTATAGCAGACAAAGTCTAATTTCTAGTATCGAAGCACTGTCTATTAGTGTAATATGAGGTAACCTTTTCCATGGGGTTCAGCTGGGCGGGTGCAATGGGTGCTAGGCACGTTGAAGGTAGCTAGAGCTTGCTGTCAAGTGCATGTGTGGTCTTGGGGTCAATGACATACATTGGGGCGATAGGTCAACCGAATAAGTGAGGCCTACTCACACTAACTCAAGCAATATATTTTGCACTTATGGCTCATTAGGACTCAGACACACTGAAATTTCTCTCAACTTGCCAAAATATTACACTTACTTCAAACTCACTCAGACCTAAACTCAGGGCTCGATCTGAGTCTGAGTCAGTCTAAGGGGGGACGTGGGTTCTAATTTTTTTTTAATTTTTTGCTCAATCTTAACCAAACTTCACTACCTGAGCTAGTTTTTCATGCTGATTCCAAATCTCTAATTTGTTTCTTAATATTTCAAATGGTTTAGAAAATGTGAAGGTCTGAATCTTAATTGCATACTTCTTACGGGACTTTTTGGCAATTTATTCTTGCTAAATCCAAAAAGTGAATGCATAATCCCAATGCTGGAGACTTGCTCCAAAGGGTGATGCTATATTTATCCATTTGAAGGCATTTTATAAGCAAGAAAACGGACGAACACTTATGGTCACTATATTACAATAAATTTCTCTCACTACAATCTTCAATGGTAATTTTCGAAGTGATGCTAGAGAAATAGAAATAGCATCACCCCCAGATTATGTCAAGACGAATAAAATGATACCAACTTTGTCGCAGTCACTCAAGTTTAACATAAGAAAAACCCCCGTAAGGCCGAGTGCAATGTGCAAGAACATTGAACTGAGAAAAACGCATTTGAAGTTTCTAGCAACTTTAACTTTTGCTAAAGTGAAGCTACAGCAATATTAATGACATCATTCTGTAGCTCTATATTATAGGATAAATGGCCATACTAAATTTCACTGTACCCACCCAGAATACTGCTCACAGCTTGTTCTAGAACTGTAAAATAGTCATTGACTCAGCATGAGAATTATTATTTTTTACTTTGTGGTCGTTCCAGTGCCTTACAAGTGAAAGGAACAGAAAAAAACCATGTAATAATGTTGTCCTTGGATAGACAATAGATTTACACAATGTTTAGGTCTAAAACCAAGAATATTTATTTTTGCGTAAATTCTCACTATTTGCCATCATGACTGTTTACAGCAACCAGGGCTGTAAGCAGAGTCCCCTGCTGGCTTGTGACGCTTTGAAAGTCATTCCTTTATTGAACTGTTGTTGAGATGCTCTCTTCGCGATTTTTGCAGCCTGCCCTTGTCCTTCTCAAGGCTGCGACGCACCAAGTTATTGCCAGCGCTGTAGCCCAGCTTCTCGGCAATTTCCACGTTGCTCTTGGTTGTGCCTTGGTTGAAGTGGCTGATGACTTCGGCAACGGCTTCAATGCTCCGCAAGGATGCATGCTGAGTTTTGGGGGCCTGCTGCCAAATCATAGCGTGCAGGCTCTCACTTGGGTTCTGGGTGATCCCATCGCTGCACCTTTCCAAGAGGGCATTGTCGCTCAGCCACCTAAACACAGGCTCGAATGCCTCAGTTACGAAATCGGGCAGGCTGTCCTTGTGTGGTGGCGGCTTCTCATTTTTCGCAAGAGCTCTCTGAAATTTGCACCAGGATTCAGGGCCTTCAGGGCAAAGGTCATGCTTTGGTGCCTCGTCAGTTGAAGACATGTGGTTCAAAGTTGCTAGAACAGCCTTCTGCATACCTGGAACATCGTTCCTGTGGCTTCTCAATGCGTAGCCATAGTATGAGGTGATCTTCTTTATCTTTTGTTGCGTAAGTCTGCCCTTTCCACCATGTGAGCCACCTTGAGCTTTTTTTTTTTTCTCTACAAGGGTAGGTAAGGCAGCTCCCATACGCTTGTGTACATGATTTATGCAGTCCTTTTTGGCCAGCTTTACGTAGCGGTACACCTCTTTTTCTGTGAGTGCATGGAATGTCCTGCTGTCGCCATCCGACAGCATTGTCGTATAACGAAGCTTGTGCTTTTCAAGTGATCGCTCAAACAAGCGTAGTGCTGCTTCCACTTCCATCTGGCCAGCATTGCAATCAACATTCTTCTGGCACAGAGGGGCATGCTGAATGAGCCAGGCAGAATGTTCTGCTTCTCCTTCCTTGGGTCCTGTGGTGCAAGCCAGGCAAAAGTTCGATAGCACGATATGGTCTATCACGAGGCCACTATACATCTCAACAATGCAGCCAACACATATATGCGAGCTATGTCCACGCGTAAGCCAGGTGCCGTCATAAATGACGTCGACGTTTCCGGGTGCGTTGCCGAACTCCGCATAGAGCTCCTTGACGCGAGCAACGCTCGCCGCTTCGCATTCGGCAGCAGTCGCACAGCAGGCTTCTTTCATTATATTCATGTGGCTTTGGTAACTCTTGTGGTGAAGCCCTCGATGCGAAATATTCATCCCGGCAAAGAAGTCCGACAGAGCCGTTGCCCCCTTGCCGATACTGTTGATGGCCTTCATGGCACGCATATTAACTTCAAACGGCTTTATTTTGGCGTCGGTCTCGTCGGCTATACGTTGGTACGAAAAACGCTCTTCGCGAAAGTCGCAACTGCCGCACGTGACTATGAGCTTCGAACACAGCCCGTACTCTTTTCTTGGCCTTTGAAATAGTGACGCTTCTTTCACCGCATTCTGGGCACGCGACAAGTCCAAATAACGAGCGTATCGCCGCCAGATCAACAATAACAAATTCTGTCCTGTTTTCTTTGCCACCTTCCTCCAGATCAATATCTAGTAACTCGAACTTACGTTCCGTCGCGCACTGCGATGCGAGTGATGCTTTCAAGCCCGCTGCATTTCTCGGGCACTCAGCAAACTCGTCCGCCGAATAAAACGCCCGTGTCAATGCGGTCTAGGATGCTGCTGGAAGTGCAAGATGACGATCCGATGACGACACAATCCGATGAGGTGCTGCTGCAAGGCACAGGAGAGTGCACCGCTTCTGACACAACCGGCCGCAGCTGGGCGCCGTCGTCGGAATGCGCCGCTTCGGCAGCATCGGGCGAAATTGGCTGCACGTTGTCGGCTGCTTTCTTCTGGCGGGCGTTCCATGGGCGCCTCCTTTTTTTGCTGTATGCTTGGCGCGTCTTCTTCTTTAGACGAGCGTCTCCAATCGTGCCGGCAAAAGACGGAAAGTCGGTGTGTTGGTGACGTAGCACAAGGAGGCATGTGCGGTAAGCAGACGAACAACGTGCGCAAATGGGAACCGGCGGCCGACGAACAATATACAAAAAAACGCGGGCAACTTTGGCCACATCAACAAATTGGAAGGGAGGAACAGGGGGCTCGCCTGGTGCGCGCGCGCTCCGGCCACTCAGCGGCTCGGAAGGAGGCTCCGGAAAAGGGGCGAGGGCAGCCGTTCTGTTTAAACGACGCCATTTTGAAGGGTGGCGAAATGCGCACAAAGGAATCAGCTTCAAAAGAAGCCCAAGATGGCGGCGATCGGCCGATTGCCTCGCCGGCGGCGCGCGCGGGAAGTTTGAACAAATTTGACCTGCCGTGGGTTGTTTTGCGGCTCCCGTGGCGACTTCATAATCAATAATAATCTATTGACTGATCGGGTTCAGCAATCACAATTTGAGGACACGTGCTTATAGGTCTAAAAATTTCAAATATCGCATTTTCTCGCCATTTTTCACCGTTCTAAGACCCGCGTCCCCCCTTAATTAAAAGTTGACTTACGAGTGCACATGTGCACATATATTTCAGTCATGATGTCAGAGTTTTTTAACACCAATAGCTCGTATAATCTGCTCTATCATGCACCTTTTGATATCGTACTACCTTAAAATAAGAGTTAGCAGTAGTAGCAATCCAGTAAGAAATTTTTATAAAAGGCACGCAACTCACGAAGGGCATCTATATTAAGAAATTCATGAGCTAAGGATCGAGGCACTCCCACCTTTTGATCTGTAAATATTGAGGTATCATATGAACCCTGGTGTGATTAAGCATGTTGGACTATACGCAACTGTAAAAATGAGTCGACATGGGGCCGATAGTAATGCTGAAGATGAGTACATAGGACCACAGGTCAGCAAGAAAAACGGAACTCACTCAGACTCACTCAAAAAATATATCTTGTACTTAGGCCTCAGTCTGACTCAGACTCATGTATATTTTCGTCAACTGTACTCACTAAAATTTTTCTGTACCTGACTTGCTCGAACTTAACTTCACCTAATATTGCTCACCTGGACTCCCTCAGATAACTACCCGATCTGAGTTCAACGACCCATGAGTGAGTTTTCCGACCTACAATTGCGACTGCTCTTATAGCATACTTGCTGTCAGAAAAGTGGCAGATTCAGGCACATAACGTATGGAAGAGCATGCAGATACAGGCCAGTATGCAAATGCCGCATCGGATGATCCTACCACGAGAAAAGAATCATTAGGCAGACAGCCATCAGTTGAGACCGGGTGAGCAAATATGAAATAATTCCAGCGTTATGAGATCGCAAACACGCAAACTTTTTATATTTACTTTCATAATGCAAAATTAGGGTAACATTTTTGCTAAGGATGTTCTCTTGATCACGGAGTCCACGGGTGCTGGTTGAATCTCCTTGTTCCAGCTCACTACACAGCTGCTAGGGACAATGCGAAGAAAAAAGCGAGGAATTTTTCACTCTTCTAAGCATGAAATTGGGATTTCCCTTATATGCATCAAGTCAATAATATTTGGCTCACAAGATTTTTTCGGAAGATTCAGGCACATAGTGTATGAAAGAGCACACACATAGTAGTGTGTGATTGCCATGTCAGATGATTGTTGAAAGAGGAAGGAATCATTAGGCAGACAATCATCGATTTAGTTGGGGAAAGCAAGAAGGTGATACTTCGATCATTATGAGATGGCAGACGTGCAAATTCATTATGCACCTACTTATTTTAGAATTAGTGCAACATTGTCACGGAGTATGTTCTTGTGATCACGGAGTTCACAAATAGCTGTCGTATCCATTTGCTCCAGCTTGCTACAGAGCTGCTTGTGACAGCGTGAAGGGAAAAATGATTTTTGACTCTTCTTCAAATGATATTGTCATTTCCCTTATGCATGTAGCCAATAACATTTGGCTTACATGTTGTGTGTGAAGCAGATGCAGCATTTGAAGATTTAAAATCTTTCCTGGTGGGTTTAAAAAGTGCTTTTCTGTGAAAGATAACTGCCTGCAAATGATCCGTCTTACTTTTTATTTTCTGTAGAGATCACAGGAGCTCCTTAACTGGAATAAGCTCCTTCAGCAGAAATGCAGCTCCTTGGATATGGAGGCCATGGAAATGAAGATGTCAAAGTAAGTGCAATCATGAAGTTGATTCATCAAAATTTCACTGGATGGAACAAAGTTCACAAAGTTCATTGTTTACTTTTGCATTTTTTCAGCTGATTTGTATGCATGAAATTTGTGAGGTATCTACATATTCTTGTTGTAAAATCAGTTCATGGCACTTTAATAGCTATTTTTAGCAGTCAGCCAAAAAGGTACCATGATTACAATTTTCTGGAAGCTAGTTACTCCGCGACTTGTACCACCTCTTCTAAAGCGGAGCAGGTTGCTATTGCTTTGGCACTATTGTATAGGCTTGTGTGTATATTTTCACGGGGTCGTGACGTGGCCGAAGACAGGAGACTTCGTGTTGGGATTTAACTGTTTATTTGGGCGAACCTTTGCCCGGTAAACGGAAAGTCCAATTACAGCAGCAGTCTCGCACAGATAGCAGTCTCGGACTGATGGCGGCGAACGGAGCGTCGGCCTTCGATCAACAACTCACAAGCGGCGAAGCGCGTCGGCATTTATACTCTTGCCGTCGAATGTTCTAGCGTTATCGCTGGCGGTGGCGTAGGTTCCAGAACAATCTGTACCGTTCGCACAGTGGGCGTGATCTTATCGAAATGATCTACTACAGTCCGGAACCTTCTCGAAAACTGCAGGCGCGGTTTGCGCTGAGAATCGTGTGGTGTTTTGGGACGATAACAAAAACTTGGGAAATGGAACGTGGCATTGCCCTCCTCTGAAAAAAAGGCATCGTCCCGATGCTTTAACCAAAGATGAATGTACAGTAATAATGCAAGAAAGTACAATGAATAAATTACGATACAACAATAATAAAAAAAAACACTGTTTCAGTTTGTTAACGCGCATGAAACGGCTTGAGGCACGCGACATGGACGACTTCAGGTCGCGATCGGCGTCGTTGAGAGTTCGTGATGCCGTCGGGGACAACCTCGTAAACAAGTGGGCCGAGACGTCGAACCACCCTGTACGGTCCGAAGTACCGTCGCAGAAGCTTTTCACTTAGTCCACGTCGGCGTATCGGCGTCCACACCCAAACACGTTCACCGGGCTGGTATTCCACGAAGCGTCGTCGAAGGTTGTAACGGTGGCTGTCGGTCGTCTGTTGATTCTTGATACGGAGACGCGCAAGTTGTCGGGCTTCTTCGGCGCGTTGAAGGTACTCGCTCACATCGAGGCTTTCTTCGTCGGTGACGTTGGGTAACATGGCATCGAGCGTCATTGCCGGGCTCCTTCCGTAGACCAATTTGTATGGAGATATCTGCGTCGTCTCCTGCACCGCCGTGTTGTATGCAAAGGTCACATACGGAAGAATGGCGTCCCACGTCTTGTGTTCGACATCGACGTACATTGACAGCATGTCGGCGATCGTCTTGTTAAGCCGCTTGGTGAGGCCGTTAGTCTGTGGGTGGTGCGCTGTCGTCCGGCGGTGGTTTGTTTGGCTGTATGCCAAGATCCCTTGAGTTAAGTCGGCAGTGAATGCCGTTCCTCTGTCGGTGATAAGGACCTCCGGGGGGCCGTGACGTAGGACGATATTTTCGACGAAGAACTTAGCTACCTCGGATGCACTGCCTTTTGGCAGGGCTTTTGTCTCGGCGTAGTGGGTGAGCTAGTCGGTAGCTACCACGATCCACTTGTTTCCGAGAGCGGACGTCGGGAACGGCCCCAGTAGGTCCATACCAATCTGCTGGAAAGGTCGGCAAGGTGGATCAATTGGCTGCAGAAGTCCCGCTGGCCTTGTCGGCGGTGTCTTGCATCGCTAACAGTCCCGGCATGTCCTCACATAACGAGTGACGTCGGTCGTAAGACGTGGCCAGTAGTACCTTTCTTGTATCCTCCCGAGCGTGCGAGAAACATTGAGGTGCCCTGCTGTCGGATCGTCGTGCAGGGCCTGCAGGAGTTCTGGTCGCAGAGCTGAAGGCACCACAAGGAGGTACTTGGCTCTAAGCGGTGAAAAGCTTTTCTTTTGTAGAAGACCGTTTCGTAGAAAGAACGACGCAAGTGCGCGCTTGAATACCTTCGGGACTTCGGCGGTCCTGCCTTCGAGGTATTCTATTAGGGCCTTAAGTTCCGGGTCGGCCCGCTGTCGTTCAGCGAAGTCATCGGTAGTTATCGTTTCCAAGAAGTAGTCGTCCTCCGGGTCGTCGGGTAGCGGTTGGTCGACAGGCGCATGAGAGAGACAGTCGGCGTCGGAGTGTTTTTTGCCGGACTTGTAAATGACAGTAATGTCATATTCTTGAAGTCTCAGGTTCCATCGTGCGAGGCGACCTGAAGGGTCCTTCAAGGTGGCTAGCCAACACAAGGCGTGGTGGTCGCTCACAACTTTGAAAGGCCTGCCGTAGAGGTAGGGGCGAAATTTCGACGTAGCCCAGATGATGGCGAGGCACTCCTTTTCTGTTGTGGAATAATTTGCTTCTGCTTTGGATAGTGATCGGCTGGCATAACTAATAACCCTTTCAAGTCCGTCAGCCCTCTGCACAAGAACGGCACCAAGACCTACGCTGCTTGCGTCAGTATGTATTTCTGTCTCGGCGAATTCGTCGAAATGGGCAAGTAACGGAGGCGTCTGGAGGCGATGTTTAAGCTCCTGGAAAGCGTGTTCCTGTGGCGTTTCCCACTTGAACTCCACGTCGGCGTTGGTAAGGTTTGTGAGAGGATCGGCGATGCGGGCGAAGTTTTTCACGAACCGCCTATAATAGGCGCACAGGCCCAGAAATCGGCGCACGGCTTTCTTGTCAGTGGGCGGCGGGAAGTCGGCGATGGCGGCTGTTTTCCGTGGATAGGGACGAACTCCAGACTTGCTGATAACGTGCCCCAGAAACAAGAGCTCCTCATACGCAAATCTGCACTTTTCTGGCTTCAGTGTGAGTCCGGAAGTCTTGATGGCTTGAAGTACAGCTTCAAGGCGCCGAAGATGCTCGTCGAAACTCGAGGAAAACACGACAACGTCGTCCAAGTACACAAGGCAAGTCTGCCACTTCAATCCTGCCAGTACTGTATCCATAACGCGTTGAAAAGTTGCAGGCGCTGAGCAAAGGCCGAAGGGCATCACCTTAAACTCGAAGAGGCCGTCCGGTGTTATAAACGCCGTCTGCTCTCGGTCTCTTTCGTCGACTTCGATTTGCCAATAGCCAGCTTTGAGGTCCATTGACGAAAAGTACTTGGCGTTATGGAGCCGATCAAGTGCGTCGTCTATTCGTGGGAGAGGATACACGTCCTTTCTTGTGATTTTGTTCAGGCGGCGATAATCGACGCAGAGACGTAGGGTCCCATCCTTTTTCTTCACTAACACCACGGGGGATGCCCATGGACTCTTGGACAGCTGGATAATGTCATCCCGCAGCATTTCATCAACTTGTCTCTTCATGGCCTCACGTTCTCGCATCGAAACCCTGTACGGACTCTGACGGAGTGGTCTGGCATTTTCTTCGGTTATGATGCGATGTTTCGTGATTGGGGTCTGCCGAATTTTCGATGACGACGAAAAACAATCTTCGTACTTTAAGAGCAGGGCCTCGAGCTGTTCTTGCTTATTGTTCGGAAGTCTGGGATTGACGTCAAAAGCTATGGAAGGGGCTTGGTTCCTCTGAGCAGGTTCTGCAGAATCGGGGAGGGCGAAAGCACTGGTGGCTTCGATAATTTCTTCGATGTATGTGACCGTTGTTCCTTTGTTCACATGTTTGTACTCATTGCTGAAATTCGTGAGCATAACCGTTGCTTTGCCTCCCCGCAGCTCTGCAATTCCTCTTGCGACGCAAATATTTCGGGTGACCAACAGAGTCTGACTGCCTTCAATGACGCCTTCGAAGTCAGGTGATTTAGGAGCGCCGACTGAAATAATGACGCTTGAGCGAGGCGGAATGGTGACTTGTTCTTCCAGCACATTCAAGGCATGGTGTCCTGACGGCGTGCGTGGCGGTAGTGCTTCTTCTGTGGATAACGTTATCGACTTTGTTTTTAGGTTGATGACAGCACCATGGAGGCATAAGAAGTCCATGCCAAGGATGACATCTCTCGAGCAACGCTGTAGGACTACGAAGTCTGTAGGATAAATACGGCCGTTAATGGTGACTCTCGCTGTGCAGATTCCTGCAGGCGTTACGAGATGACCTCCGGCTGTGCGGATCTCAGGGCCTTTCCAAGCTGTCCTAACTTTCTTTAACTTCGCGGCGAACGACCCACTGATGACACAATAGTCGGCTCCAGTATCGACGAGAGCGGTCACACTGTGGCCGTCGATAAGAACGTCGAGGTCGCTAGTTCGCCGTCTCGCATTACAGTTAGGGCGTGGCGTCGGGTCACGGCTGCGTCGGCTTGTTCCGCTGCTTCCATGTTGCGTCGTCAGGCCACCTTCGGTAAGTGAGCTTTCCCCGTCAGGGCTTTGCCTGGTTGGCGTTGTGTTCGGAAAGCTCCGTCGCGGCGTCGTCGTCGTCGGAGGATCTTCGGTAGTTCGTCGCACAGCAACCACACCTCCACCGGTTGCTGCCCTTAGTTTCCCGGATACGGGCTAGGAGACCGGCCCCGCGTTGGGCCAGAGTACTGCCGGTGGTGCGGTGACGTGCAGCGGCTGGGCGACGGCGAACGCGAAGGGCTTCGTGGTGTCCACCGAGTTCCTGTCAGGTAGTCGGTGATGTCACGTGGTCGTTCTCCTGGCTGTGGACACGGTGCATTGACGGCGAAGCCACGCAGTCCCATCTGTCGGTACTGGCAACGGCGGTATGTGTGTCTGGCCTCGCCGCAGTGGTAACAGAGCGGGCGATGGTCAGGGGTGCGCCAGACGTCTGTCTTTCTCGGTGCACTGCGCTGGCCCGCTGGCGAACGGTATGACGTCGGTGGGGGTGGTGGCGGCGGTGGCGTCTGTCGACGGAAGTGCGATGGCGCGGCGTTTTGGCGTGGACGGGGAGGAGCGTTGTGGCGCAGTGCAGCGGCGTAGCTCATAGCTTCCGGCTCGGGCAGCGGTGCGTGGGGATTTTGAAGCGATTGCCGAACTTCTTCTCGCA